TCCAGGAGATTCTAAATTTCGGCTGTGAAGTCAATATCGGAGCTACATATTTTCCATATTCGAAGGGCTTGTGAATAGGGTATGTTCTCTTTTTGATGTTTCGGGTGGCTACTTCTATAGTGTAGATACAGGAAGGCATTAGTAGGTTTGTTATATATATGGCTTCCTAATGTCCCATCTTCTCTCAAATAGATAGTAGTATCTAGGAAGTTTACAGAAATCTCGCTGATTTCCGACGTAAACTTGACAGTAAGATGGTATGAGTTGAGTGCCTCTAGGAAGGAGGTTAGTTCCTCTCGGGTGTGGGGCCATATAAAAATATATCATCAATGTATCTCCACCAGATCATAGATGTTTTCATGCGGTTAGATAGGAATCTTTGTTCTAAAAAGTCCATAAATATTATAGCATAGCTTGGGGCCATTTTAGTTCCCATCGCCATTCCCTGGGTTTGTAAGTAGAATTCCTGATTAAATCTAAAACAGTTATTAGTTAAAATTATCGCTATCATTCTCAATAAGATCAAAGTGATTGGTGTAGGGTTGGGTCTGTTGTCTAAGGCTACTTTTACCTTGCATATTCCGTCTGAGTGAGGAATTGATGTGTAGAGAGACGATACATCAGCTGTACACAACAAACTTCCCGGCGGAAGTCAGCCTAATTCGTGGATTCTTTTAAGAAAATCAGTGGTATCTTGGATATACGATGCAGTTTTTGTGGCTAACGGTCTAAGGTGGTAGTCCACAAGGAATGATATTTTTTCCGTGCAGCTGCCTATCTGAGATATGATCGGATATACAGTGGGATGATTATTACAGAATGGGTTGTAGATTCTTTTGTAAGATTCCACATATATGTGCAGTGGATTGAGTTCTCTACACTGGCACAGGAAAGACATTACAGAACCACTACAATACAAATCTTTTATTTATAGGTATTCTTTCATTTACAATATCAATCTTCATCTGGTAATTATAAAAGAACTATTTCAATAAACAATATGCCAAAAATATTTCAGATTTGTGAAATATAACATGCAACATGTTATGTTTTCCTGTCATTTAAAGATATCAATCTTCACATATACCTTTCTATACCATTATTGCAAGCAATATACTGAAAAATGACATGAAAATAGACTTGAACATAAATCAAGGCTTTTATACATACCTTGTATATTAGCAGTTATATTAAGAATATTGCATAAGATATGCAGATAACATGTAAATTCAACTGTTGAAATGCTATCACTTTCCTCTCAAGATCCTTTGTAGCTTTTTTTCGTCAGAAAAAGAAAAAAATAACATTTAATAACAGGAGCAATCAGTGTTAATCATGCTCACCAGAGACAACAATACAAACCAACTTACTTGTGATTGGTGAACGAGTTGCAATATAGAGAAAAAATAAAAAGGGGGATAGGGGGGTGGAAGAGTCCAACGTCCCGTGGGTGGTAATGTTCGCTAGATGTGTCGGTGGAGGAATCCTAGGTGGATACAGGAGTATTCTAGCAGAGCTCCATAGACGATAGGTAACAACTTGATTAAGGATGGAGCATCAAGGCCAAGGATTCTGTAGGTTAAGAATTTATTAGTTTACATGTTTCGGTTGGCTAAATAAAAAGCATACCAAAGGAAGTGAAGTAACGCTATGTTAGGTTGAACAGTGATTGATATACCAGTGTTTTTTTGATGAATTAAGCTTGTGTTGTTTAAAGTCTTGTAACAATAATGATGGTTGAATGCTACTAGATTTATTTAACTATGTATTTATTTATTGGATGTCATACTTTTAGGATTTGCATCAGTATGTGAAGCGAGAATTCTGTTTTCAAATGAATATGATGTTTGTATTTTATGTGTGAGATGATTTGAAATTTGTTAGTAACTTTAACATGCATTAATTTTAAAATAAAATTCCAGAAAGCAGCATTTGATGTTTCCCTTATTTGTATACAAAGATCTCAATATCCTCATTAACATCATGGCCTGATATTCATGGAACTCCTCACTCTGTTACCTGTTAAATGCATTCCTTGTTCTAGCAAATGATTTTGAAGAATTTGTATGGAAAGGATGCATTTATGGACTCAAACAAAAAGCCAAAGTGAAAAGGCAGTCCATACGCATCATCCTCAGAACCTTTAAATTTCAGCTGTTGTGAGCACAGAATTAATCTTAGTGCTATGAAAACTGATGTCAAATTTACACTAAAAGTCAAAACGGCAATAGTTTATCATGATAAATTTGTATTGTGCATCAGAAAGCAAAATGCTTTTCTTAACAAGAGATCTCAGTGGGATCTTGGCGCCCACCATTTGATGATCTGTTTTCAGTTCTTGAAGAGTTGTTTTTTTTGTTTTGTTTTTTTTTTTGTTGCAGGTGTTGTAAATGTTCATGAACTGGTCAGGTGTTGTAAATGTTCATGAACTGGTCTTCATTGAATGTACTCAATGATGGCACAAGGTATTTTTATAGGGATACAGTGATAAAATGAACACCCTTTATTAAGTTGTATACTTATTAAATTCAAAATGGATGATAATGGTGATGATGATGATAATGAAATGATGCCCATGTACAAGAGCGCAACAAGTATAATAAAAGTTCAAAGTTTTTTAAAACTTTTTTTTGATTTAAAATTTTACATTTTATTTTATTACATTAATGTTTTTGTAACACCAACATTTAAATATTAGGAATTATTGACATTTTTAATAAATCAATTCTTCTGTTACTTCTCATGTGTCAACCCCTATGCCATTAACTCAGTTCATTGCATGGTTTAGTAATCATACCCTAAACAGTGTATATATCAATGTTTACTTAATTTTGAAAATCTTATACTTGAGAATGACTGATCATGTAGGTAAGTAATAGCCATAAAACAATTATGGCCATTTTTTTTCCACCGATAATTTTAAATATGGGACAATGCTGAACTAGGTACCAAGAGGAAGCTAAATATGAAATTTGAGAAAGATCCTGTCACAGCGATAACAAACTACTGTATTACTGTCGACATCCAAGATGGCTGCCTGTTGGCCATCTTGATTTCAAATCAGTCCAAAAAAGGTACAAACGGAACCTGCATATGAAATTTGAGAAAGATCCATCCAGTACTTTCCTGGAAATAGCGGTAACAAACTTTTACTTTCAAAATAAAAGATGGCCGACAAGCAGCCATCTTGAATTCGGATCAGTCCAAAAAGGTAAAATGCACAACTAGGGACCAAACGGAACCTGCATATGAAATTTGAGAAAGATCCATCCAGTACTTTCCTGGAAATAGCGGTAACAAACTTTTACTTTCAAAATAAAAGATGGCCGACAAGCAGCCATCTTGAATTCGGATCAGTCCAAAAAGGTAAAATGCACAACTAGGGACCAAACAGAACCTGCATATGAAATTTGAGAAAGATCCATCCAGTACTTTCTCGGAAATAGCGGTAACAAGAATTGTTTACGGACCACGGACACAGGGTGATTTGAATACCCCACCATCTCATGATGGTGGGCTAAAAAGTCCAGCAAATTCAGCGAAGAACTTGTTGGTGGAGACAAGTCCTTGCAGCTACATTGATTCTATGTTTCTAAATGACCATCTCATTTGCTATCTTACACACTGACTACAGCTGTTTACAAAATATACAAGAATACCTATAGGAGCGTTGGATATGTGTGGGTTCACCACTGTAAGCAAAAATTGATGATAAGGAAACTTATGATGACTTAAATTGAATATTATTGTCTCATACAAGACATAAGAGTATCAAATAAGAACTTCTGTTAAAAAAAGTATTGCGTGATGTTTTACATTAATCAGCTCAAACAGCCCAGGGGCCTCAATAGTCATCTGACTATAAAGACCTATATATGGAAGAGGCCAAACATGGCTGAAATAAATTGCTCAACTACTCTACAGCTTACAAAGAATACATAGTTGGTTCATAAAAACATTTTCTGAAAACTTGAAATCATATTCTTTACACATGCTACTACAAATTTGTTTAATTACTACATATCTTTTGCTGGTTGTAAAAGGAATCTCAAGACCAAAGATATCTTGATTATAGATCAAGGTCAATTATTTGGATGAATTAGTAGCTCTTCATCCACTTGTGTTGAAGAACCAATATCAACAGCTTGGACTGTTTTATTATTGAGAAGAGGTGGTTTGAAGATTTTAGCACATTTGACCATTGTGACCTTTAAAAAGAGAGGTCAGTCACATGTACAAAGTTCATCCCAACATGCCACAGACCCAATATCAGTACCCTAAGTCTTTAAACCTGTGAAGATTTTGACACATTTCACATCTCTGACCTTGAAAGTGGGTCAAGGTCAATAATATGAACAAACTTTGTAACCCTTCATCCCAGCATACTAATCCCAGTATCAGCACCTTGGGCCTTTTGGTTATTGAGAAGCTGTTTAAAGATCTTGACATATTTGACTTCTGTGACCTTGCAAGTAGGTCAAGATCAATATAAACAAATGTGGTAGCTCTTCATCTCAGCATTTTATAGGCCCAATATCATCACCCTGGTCCTTTTGGTTATTAAGATGTTTAAATATTTCAACACCTTTAACCTCTATGACCTTGAAAGTGGGTCAAGGTCCTCCATCCCAGCATGCTACAGACCAAATATCAGCACCATAGACCTTTTGGTTATCAAGAAGTTGTTTAAAAGATTTTAATAAATTTGACCCCTGTGACCTTAATAGTTAATCAGTCATTCATATTAACAAACTTGGTTTCCATTCATCCCAACAGGCTACAGGTACAATATCAGCACCCAGGCCCTTTTGGTTATTAAGAAAAAGTCATTTGAATGGAAAATTAATGCACAGCAGACAATGCATGACAAAGTCGAAACACAATGGCTATAGATCATCCTCACCTTTCGGGTCATATGACATAAAAAACAGCAGCCTCATTCCAAATTTTAAGTCCTACGAGTAAACTGAAGAATCCAAACACAACACAAGGAGCATATATATTGGACAATACTTTATTGTCACCATTATCAACAGGCAACACATCAATAACATTTACAATGTAATGATGCTTACATACAATACTTGTTCACCAAAACATAGTTAAGCAGTTTCATTGCTTAAGGTCAAAGCTTATTTAAATTGCTAAGATCTAGAAAGGACAAAAGATATATACAGAATACCATCAAAAAAAAGTTGACTGGAGATACAATACAAAAATCTGACCCCAGTATTAAACTGTCTACGCATTGATTATATCTGTTAGAAATAAAACAGCAACTTCTATATTAAAACAACCAAAGTGTACCATGTACAGATACATATATCTTTGGGAAGTTCTTACACCTGTAAGATTTTGGCAACTGAAACTTTGATGATGATCCATTACAGGTATTACCTTTGAATTCCTGTTATGATTATTCATAATTCCTCTTATGAATAATGCAATACACTCACTTTTATTATTATACAATAACTTCTTTGCCCAGAAAAAATTCAATATTTTTAAATAAATTTGTGCTACATCAAAATATAACAAGGTTTGAGGAACTGCAAAAAAGGACCAGTGTGTGGGGTGGCAAAAAATAAAGTGCATTCCAACGACATTTATATAAAGGACATGACAAATTACACAGTTTTATCATAATGCATTTAAGGCAGGTGTTGAGGTTTCCCGATCCAGGAAAAAACATGTTTGGAATCATTATTCAAAAATTTGGAATTGATCATGCTAGTTATTTTTTTCCAAACAACAACATTGTCTAGGAGTCCTAAAAGTGGTCTTGGTACAGATTTCCAGAAAAAAATCACTACAATGGGGAACACTAGCAGTGGTCTATTGGTATAAGTGGTCTTTTTATAGTACCATACATAAAGATTCAATACATAATAATCATGTGTATGGAAGTTATCGTCTTGATATGTATGAATTTGATAAACATACCCCAACTTTCTTAATTTAGAACTAATTTATAGAGAAATGAAACATTCAAAACAGGCAAAATGCTGCTTAGTGTAAAAGGTTGGTGACTACTCTATCAAAACATTTGGAAACATTCCAAACAGAAAATGCTGAATTATGATAACCAAAAAAAACAGCTAAAGATGAAATGCTTTTAAATCCATGCGGAACTGACAGCATGCAAACAGATCAAAATGGGTAAGGGGACTTTAATTAAGCTTATTTTCCCATGCATATGTATGTGTAATATTGTTGAATATATTAAATCAAAATAAAAAACTAATCTATCAAATATCACTAAAAAATATTTAAAATGCCAAATTAGTATAATTTAATATCACCCGAGGAAATGAAATATGTGAACTATTTGTAATGCAACTCTTGTTGCTGTGTCCTAGATATACAAATACTAACTTCTTTTGCCATTTGCAAGCAGTGCTGCAAAGACGAAAATTGTTTTACAATATCTTTTCTCTTTCTTGGATATAAAACCTTGTTTATCCAAAGTATCAAAGATTTTTCAAAGTAAGACTGCCTACGTACAAGGAAAATAAATGGAGGTCAGATGATGCAAGAAGGAATGGATCTGATAGTTCAGGGTGCTCACTTCAACAGACATAGCACAAGAAAACTTTCATAACAAAGAACCATGTCTTTCAAAAAGAAACTGATGCTGGAAAGTGAAAATTCAAACCGTCATATTTCACAAATGTACATGATTATACAGATTTAAAACAATTCTACTCTAACAAAAAACAAATGGACAAAACTTAAGATTTCTGAAGTTGTTTTATGAATTGGGGGTTTAAATTTTATTTCAGTGAAATAGACAAATATGACATCGGGTCATTGATATGTTACTCAATCAATATTTATCAACATTTACCTGTTAATTAAATTCATTTTAAAATCTCAAAATAAAAACATTTATTTCTTTGGGGGCAGGGTGAGAGAGAAGAAGAATTCAAAAATTAAATAACAATGTTGAAAAAATTTCATCTGCACTGCAGGAGTAATAATATACACTTTTCAAAATCTATTGCACAATTCATGTTTGTTTAATTCTTAATTCACATCCAAGCCATTTGTTACAAATGGCCAGAAAGTAAGCTGAGCTGCAAAAACTTGTCAACTAAAGTCTTACATCAAAGTGTTCTCACAGTTATACATGCACTTTCATTTCTAAATCCATATCATACAATTAAGATGAAGTAAAAAATACATCATTATAGAAAAAGACAGAAAAAACTTGTGATATAAAGAATAATGCAAATACAATTACTGATATTAAGCACAAACTTGATAGTTCTTTTGTCAAAAGATTGGCCCCAGTACATTCCATCAAAATTCTGGTCTACGAATACCTTTTGAATCCCTTTTTGATGTAAGTTAGGAGATATTTCTACAATACTTAGCAAAAATCATCACCATATATGTATTACATTACTTTGGTCAGCTTTTGAATGGGTTTATTTACTTGTACTGCATGTTGGTCGAATGTCACATAGCATTAAATACAGCACAGGAGACATATAAGTACTGTTTAATGTTTCTCAAAAGTCAATTTGATGGAAATCAAAATTAGAATTCAGTCAAATGTTCAATTAAGTTCTTTCCATGAGAAAGAAATAGCATCATCAGAGCCCAAACCCAAGACAACACAACCATCAATGAGAATTTGAATATGTTGTCTCTGAAATATGTTTACAGTGTTAAATGTGTACATGTTTGACACATTTTAGAATAGTGCTATTTATATTTATTCAGAAGAACCAATGGCCATTCTATAACAGCAAATCTGAGAATTAATGTGTGAATATCTATAGCTTTAACTTCATTAATCGCAAGTCATGGTGCTGGGTAACTATTTCTAACTAAAATCTAGCCATTGTCACATTTCAGCATGAATTGTTCATTGTTCATTGCCCGAAAACATGCCAATCCTTTTAACTAACCTTTAGATACTTATGCACCAACCCTTTCCATGTTGTTAATACTACATTTGTACTTGTATAATTTTTACCAATATGGACTCTAAACATACACAGGATAATGCTCTCTTCAGCATTAACTAATGAGGTCACTGAAAGTGATAAGAATATAAATATCAAAGACTTCTGTAGATGCCAGTGACAAATAAACAACATTCTTAATAAGCATAGAGATAAAAGGCAGAAAACTACTAGAGCTAAAGCGTGTTAAAGTGAGAGAAAAGTGGTTATTTTAACACGTGTATAGTCATAATGTGATTAAAATGACATGTAAAATTTAACAACTTAAAATACTAAACCTTCTTCAACAAAGCTGTAGACATTTTTTTCATAGTTTCTAAAGATAGTAGCAGTGACCTTGAATGATTGTGAGATGTGAACTCCATCCAACACCAAAATGTTGCCATAACTATCTTGTAATCGTCCAAGAGATTCAACACATCAACTTTGACTTGAAGTAGGAGGTAGGCTTACTAAAGATTTGTTAGTATTGTTGAGTAGCAAGACATGGGTGGACTTCATACAGGGCATGTATTCACTGACAATAAATACAGTATGTAAATTTGAAAGAAATCATCACAGTCGCCTATCTTTCAACCCATCAACCTTAAAAATTCAACTTGATTTCCTGAAAACCTGAGTTTCATTAAAAATGTGTAAGTACTTTCCTGCAAATGATGCTTTTCCCCCAAAAAACAATAATACAACTGTCTACAATTTAAGGAATTTAAACTCTGTTTCAGATTGTGATATGAGAAGAAAATTCATAAAGAAATGCAGATACTGCAATTTCAATGTTAATAGACAAAATAGTTCAGAAAACACAGGACCATTCCTTAATACACCTGCATTTCTGAGACACATTAAATCACTTTAATTTGGATTATTTTTGAAAGATTTTCTGTGTGACCATAGCTTCCTGCAAAGTAAATTATTTTAATGCTAATTTCAAATGAAGACTTAACTAGAACATACTTATACCAATTGTTTTGATTTAATCACTGACTAGCAAGACAGCAAAATATTAACATATGTACAACTGAATGATGTGAGATTTTGTAAATGGATTCCAGTACTCTAGTCGTAAATTCAGCTATTTAAACATTATGTGAACTTGTTAAGTTTGCATTAAAACATCAATGACTGTCACTGTGTAGACATGCTTTTGTATTTATCGAAGTTGATACACAGTTCCATTACTGAAACATGACAGATTTGTCAAGAAACAATCATCAGTAACTTATATAAAGTGATATAACTTACCAGACAAAAACATGATAAAACTATTACAGTGATATCTAGCTATGTATTTCCATACATTGTGGATAACAAAATTTGTATAACCTTTACCCATCATTTCAACTGTAACATACGAAATGAAAAATACACATGCAATTATGGTACATATGAGTTAAACTTAACATGACTACTTAACTTTCAGAGTGTTTAAACATGGAAGATTCATTCAAAATATTAAACAACATTCAATCTTTACATAAATGACATATTCTTGGTCTTAAGCAGCCATACATGCAGTTGAATGATAATATTTAGACCTGAGACAACAGGAAATGTTTGGAATTCTTGTCTTGAGCATTCCTTGTAACCATGACTATGTAAACACTAAGATCGGAATGACACTTTTCTTACATACAGAATGTGATTGTACGAAGTTAACAAACACAAGTGTGGCACATGGGAAGGAAATGGAGATATGGATGTAAACACGCACTTCAAAAGAAATTCTGTGGACAATAAAAACAATTGACCTTCAAACTGAATTTAGCACCTTTCTGATTTGCTGTCATACATTTATTAAGTAACATTCCAGATCCAGTATTAACCTTACACAAGAGACATCAATGAGATAGCTTTTTCTTCATATATCACCACTGATTTTGTTCAGAATTCACAGCTCTGAAGTAAATAAAAGACATAGCTCACTTCAGCAAATTAAAAAAAAAAAAAAAAAAATTCATATAATATCTCTGACTCAACATGCCAAAATTTCAAAAACAACAACCAGGCTGTTCACAAATTTTCAAAACAGCATTTACACATAAGAATGTTACTGTAATAGCAGTACATGATGAAAATTTTATTAAAACTGAGACAAATTCAATTGCTTGAAATAAGCTTCCCACCATCAGTTGTTACATACTCTCAACATACGAGGTAAAACCATGTTAAAGCTGGACTAGAAGGGATTGTTGTGTCATCAGTAAAGTAGGTTGTGAGGCGTTGGAATCATATGCTCATGGATACTGGATGATGCTTAAAGATCTGTAATGGTTAATATCTACTCTGTACCAAAATATTTCTGGCCAAAGTGGTTGGGTGCCACAGGATGGACTTCTGATGTAAACACATTCATCTCCGGGAAGGCGTTCCGCACAGCTTTGGCAGCTATGGATAACATAAATGGCGCATATCATACAAGTAAGTACATTTGCATCTCTGGGTTATTTTTAATTTTATGCCTATTCAAAATTACCATCATCAAGTAAACTAGAAAATTGTTTATGTTATACCATTACATAATTAAACTTCTTTCATATATATATATATATTTAAAACAATTTATTTTAATACAAGGAAACTACAAATGTTACCACCTGATCACGAGAATATTGAAATTTAGGGAAAAATGAAGTTAGGTCTGTTGGATAAATAAAGAAATTAGATATTGGATAGTGATAAATACATATAATTTCTCACTCAGCCAGTCTTTAAAAAAATTAAATCTGCTATCTGACAAGATTTTATCACTTTAGGAACTAGTTAGTCTGGACATTAGAAGTACCCATTAGCAGTCATTTGGTTATACTGAACACACTACACAGTAATGCAATCTTTTGGATGAAAAGACCATTAAATTATGTCTGCATTACATGACAATGACAGTGATGTTGGAAACCTCTTTACCTGACGGTGTTGTGAAGAGATTCATTAAGATGATATTTTCCTCCTGCACTTTATGGTCCTTGAGTATATTTACAGCTTTTATCACAGTATTTCCGGTTCCTAAAACATGCAAAATTTATTTCTATAAATCACTTAAAAATGTACAGTCAAACTTCTATGAATCAAACATTGAAATTTATCAATGTATCAAAGTTTTTGTCTAGTCCCAAATTTTATTCTTATATATTACTTCTAACTTACTCCTTTATGAATCACAGTTTCATAAATCAAACTTTTTGATGTAACCATTTTTTTTCACAAACAGTAAACTATGACACCACATGATTCTAACAAAACATTTACAGTACTGTTTTGGTATTTGTTGTGTTTATTTCCGTGGAAATATCCTGTCATCAATTATACATAGCCATGAACATGAAAACTTCTATATTAACTCACCATGAATGATTCAAAGTTTCAATGTATCAGAAGTTTTTTTGGTATTCCCTTAACTTCTAAAACATCGAAGTTCGGCTGTATTTGTTTTGCAATAAAAATACATGTCAGAAAAAAAGCTCTTATTTCAATATTGAATAAAAATTTTTAATCCTTGCACAAGCTCTTCAATTAAGAAAACATGCTGATCAAATATGCAAATCTGTATTCAATTGCATGTACATTGCAGAGGAACAAGCATCTTACCCATAATGGGATACATGAGGAGGACTTTGCGTGTAGCAATGTCAGGGGGGAGTTTAGCATAGACAACTTTGGCTTCATGTGTGTCTTCATCACTCTGTATAAGGATTTTACCAATTCGTATTGATCGACAACAATCTCGTAATCCCTGCTCCATGGCTTCACCTGGGATATAAGACAAGTTATGTTATATCATGCTGTAGCAAAGAAAGCAGGATATCAGATACAAGTCTAGATAATACACATGTTCATCTGAACACTTAAAAAGTTATGTATGAAGTTCATAATATAGACTTTTAAGATAATAGATTAATCTACAATTCTCAATTGAATTCAATCATACTTTGTCAACTTCTTTATATTGTTCATAATCCTTAAACAAAATTTTTTGCAATTTTTTGAAACCATGATCTTCATCATTACTGTCAGCAATATTTCTTATGCCACGATATGAAAATGTCACTGTTTAATACCAATTAATACATTGTCAGAGGAACCAAATGTGTTGAAATCTACAAACAACTTCTCCATTACCAAAACACCAAGAGTCATCATGAATCATGATTATTTCTACAGATTACTCATCACCTCTCATAACAGATGCCACAGTTAAACTGACCACTTTTCACGATACTGATGCCACAGTTAAACTTACCACTTTTCACGATACAGATGCCACAGTTAAACTGACCACTTTTCACGATACAGATGCCACAGTTAAACTGATCACTTTTCACGATACTGATGCCACAGTTAAACTTACCACTTTTCATGATACTGATGCCACAGTTAAACTTACCACTTTTAACGATACTGATGCCACCATTTAATTAACTTATAGCGTTTCATGATACTGATGCCACAGTTTAATTTACTTACCACTTCTCATGATACTGACGCCACAGTTTCCTTTCTCGTATCGCAGTCCATCGTAGATTTGTCCTGTACATAGTAATAGTGTATAATTGTGCCAGTTAGCTGAAGGTTTTGATATAAAATTTACATCTTACAGCTTAAGAATAAGCACATCTTTGTATTGCATTTTATTTACTTCATGCAAAACAGTTTCCTATAACCTCTCTCCAGGTCTGTCTGTGCCTCTAATGTTAAGTGTATAATCTTTGCAATAAGAAAATGTTAAAGATCTCAACAAGATAAACAGATTTGAATAACAATAACAAGAGTATTGTAATTTGAGCAGAATGATTTACAGAATACCTCATAAAAATGTAGATCCTGCATTGTAGAATAGTGTTACAGACAATGGCATACTCTATGGGCATTTTGAATGAGCAAGATACCAACCTGTAGGGGTGGTGACTTGGCAATGGCGATAGGGCAGCTGATTCAGACATTCTTCTACAACTAATCTGATCTGAAAAAATAGCACAAAATCAGAGCTCTATTGGAATAAAACATGATATACCCATCTGAACTAATACACAATTAGAATTTCTCAAATTAAAAAAACATTTTTTAAAAAGATAATAACATTTTTTTAAAAAGATTATAACGTCATTTCAGAAGTGCAAGATTTCTCCATAGTTTTACACAGTATAGTGAATAATGAAATTTTCTTGCAAGTTCTGATTAAATGTACAAGTATAATATGTTCTGGAAATCATATTAGATAAACATCATTTGACACTTTTAAAATAACCTATATTTATCTCCTCAGGATCCTAAGAAAAATTTCTGCAGGAGTCCTAGCAATTTTTTAATTATAGGACTCATTTCCCTAGCTCATTTTGAGCAACATTTTGCATACATATTACTTACTATTCACCACTAACTGAACAGCAAAATAAAGATATAAACCTGTAATAATGATTGACAATTGTGTATGTGTCAATTAAATTTTATAACAATCTGATAACACATTTATATTTTAACTAAGCTGGTTGTATAACTCTGTCAGCCTTCACTTTGGTGATCATATGTTTAGTTGTAAGAAAACCAATCATTTTGCCCAATCATAGAAAACGTATGAATTATATGGTAAAACCATCTTTAGTTACCAAGTAAATATGAAAAAGACGTCTGAATGATGTTTTCAAATGAATGGGTTAAGAACTTTGTTCTTAAGTAACTTGAAGTGATTTCTTGAGAGCTTCTGAGAAGGTCCCCTACCCCATCAACAACTTATCCATAAAATTAGTATGATGTGTTACATGGTTTTACTGATAAAATAACAACACCCTGGTATGTAAATGATATTGAAACAAGAGGCCAAGGGGCCTGAACAGTCACCTGAGTGAGACTTGTCTCAGGTGACCTAACCAAAAACTTCCCTATTCACAGATGATCAAGAATTCTATCATGCCATATTTGGCAGCCAGTAAGAAGTGGCCACTATTCTCCCACCCTGACAAATATGAAAAGCTTTGCAATGCAGATAGGTAAAAGTGACAACTTGAACAGCACTCGAGATGGGGAGATACCAGGAATACCAATCTATCTTTCACAGTGGGACTGCACCCCCTGGAATAACCAATGTTTGGTTGCTATAAAAGAGCTAGGGGAGGTAAGATTGATTTCAAAAATTATGGTGGGAAAATATGATCTTGAGGTATAAACTTTCCTGTAATTTCTAGCATTGAAAACACCACCACTAGGGGGATACAAACTGAAACTTTATAAACAAAAGAACTCGCCTAAACACAAGAAGCTCATAGGAAGATCTGCACAAACTTTTAAATCCAACCTTAATCAACATTGGAAAAACCAACCACTTCTATATAACTACAAGGAATCCATGTAATGGCCGATGGAACTTTTAAAAAAAAACGGCACATTTCTATAATCTCTTGCAATGCACTTAAGATCTTAAATTATATATCAATCAATTTCAACAATCTGATATATCATAAAACTATATAACTGCAATGAACTTGCAAATTAATCATAAATCAATTCATAAACTTTTATTTATATAAATCAGGCACTGATCCAGAATTGCAGGTAGAAAAGCTGCACATTTTTGACAACTGAAAAATAACTTTTTTTAATATCGTGTCTGACACCTCCCTTTAGTTTCCAGATTTTCTTTTACATTTTATAATCCTTCAAGCTAAATGATCGAAAATAACGTTATAGATATGACGGCCGAAAAACCTCAAAAATTAAAACTAAAATATAGAGTACGTAATATATTATGGTAAATTTACTGATAAAAGCCATGTGTATGTGACAGTAATTATACACACCTTTCAAGGTCTAGGGCGTAACCACAAATGTTTTTTACAAATACAAAAACAATGTCCTCAGTTGGCTTATTCCTAAGTTATTTGAACTATAGTATTACATTAACCTCTACATTGAGTTTATTTTTCTTGCAAATGATGGCCACTTGGTATGTTAATCTATTATGGTCATAATAACAATATCTCTTTCAATGTCGCTAACTATAAGTATCTTCAGGTATATCGTTTGAAGACGAGTGATACACACCTGTACTGTTGGCATTCAAAGAAAATATGTTCAAAACTCAACCAATATTTTACAAACATCAATGTGAAACTTTGGTACATAGGTGTATAAATTTGACCATATAAACAGTGAATCTTTCGACTGTGCCAATAAACTTCATTAAGAGTATTTCAAAAATATTTTCCAAAGGCATTTATGATGTTGTTATTGTTTGTTGACACTTTTTTAGACAGACCATTCATGTATATCATAACAATAGTAACAACTGCAACTTACCAATCTGTCAGCATAAAATATGAAATCTCCTCTTGAAGTTAATCTGAAAAAGAAATTATGAACATCTAGTGTGATTGTGAAATACCACTTTCATTTACACACATTAATCTACATTACTTGTACATATCCTAACTCTATTTTAACAACATGTGACTTAGCTTAACTTTCATCCTTGCAAGAGAAAGGAAATGAGTGAAAGAGTTCGAGGGAGCATTCATTATTTTCGATTTCGATTCAATGCATACAAACATGGGGTTCAGAGAGAGCAGACAGTCTGTCGATACCAGTACATTTTTAGGTGCAGTTTTTCAGACAAAATGGAAGATTGGATTTCTTGTTTCTATAATCACTTGTGTTTTTTAATAAGCTAATTCCGAATAAAATATTTTAAGCAAAACAAACATCTGCAAATGCACGTGGCGATATTTTTTTCTTTTCTTTCTTGGCGCACATGTTTATAAACAACACTTACTTCGATCTTAAAACGGTCTGAAGCTCACGAACATTGTCAGTGATTCGGAGTTTTTTAAATTTAGGACCAAAATCATAATCTTCGTAGCTGTTTTGGTGTAGAGAATCTTGAATTAGATCTGGTTCCATCTCACATCGGACCAAATATCCCACCATTCACGCAAGACACAAAATTTGTCTATTTACCACTTTTGTTCTGCATTATTACAACCACAAAAAATAGTTCGAAAGTAAAAATGTTGTAGACTCAAGTGTTTGTCACTGACATCGAATAAATGAATAGTGTTTTCATTGCTATCTATATTTCTTAATAGGTGTAATTATGTAAACACCATTTTATCTTATTTTACCGAAACGTCTATTTGTTTACATCTATGCGGAAGAATAAAGTCAATCTAGGGTCAATCAAAGTTGAAGTCTTGATTCTCAATCCTCTGCACCGCTTCCTGTTTGGTATGGCCAGTGCGTTGCGGTCGGGCTGTCAACGCGTTGAAAATATTTGCTGTTTTACCCCATTTTACACCCAAACTTTACGTTTAATACATTCAGTCAATCCAATATGCAGTAAAAGTTTATTGTTAAGGCGTCAAACTGCTTGGACAAAGCTTCTAGTAAGTGTAATAAGGCGAGACAGTTTGTCTTCATTACTCTTAAGGTATAGAGGTGAACGTGAGGGAGCAGTCATTGATTTCTTGCCAATGTGATTTCATTCATTGAATAGAAAATATTTCTCTGTAGAAGATTTTACTGCAAAATATCGTCGCTTACTTGCATCATCTATTTAGAATTTATTGTTTGAAATTACAACATCCTGTCTAATAGCGTTTATATTGATTGTCTACAACGGAAAATCTCTGTGCCATCATTCATAGCATCTGTTTGGAAGTGTAACAGGAGATAATATAGGATTCAAAGTATATTTCTATTCAGTTTTGTTGTATAGATATACAAAATATGGTCTTTGTAACTCGGACTATGTACTGACATTTAACCAATAAAATGGGTATGATAGCCTGTTTGATGCTCATGAAAAGCATGGTATCAAATTGTGTGCTATAGCAGTAACAACTCGGGTATCAAATTGTGTGCTGTAGCAGTTGGAACTCTGGTATCACATTGTGTCCTACAGCAGTATGAACTCTGTATCACATTGTGTGCTGTAGCAGTTGGAACTCTGGTATCACATTGTGTCCTACAGCAGTTTGAACTCTGTATTACATTGTGTGCTGTAGCAGTTGGAACTCTGGTATCACATTGTGTCCTACAGCGGTATGAACTCTGTATCACATTGTGTGCTGTAGCAGTTGGAACTCTGGTATCACATTGTGTCCTACAGCAGTTTGAACTCTGTATTACATTGTGTGCTGTAGCAGTTGGAACTCTGGTATCACATTGTGTCCTATAGCAGTTTGAACTCTGGTATCACATTGTCCTACAGCAGTTTGAACTCTGTATTACATTTTGTCCTATAGCAGTTGGAACTCTGGTATCACATTGTGTGCTGTAGCAGTTTGAACTCTGTATCAAATTGTGTCCTATTGCAGTTTGAACTCTGTATCACATTGTGTGCTATTTATATTTCAGCCAGCAAATGGAAGGCCACATCTTTGTAGATGTCCGTGTTCAGCAAAATTTAGAGCATCTTCATTTAAAACGGGAGCTCGGCCAATTTTTGGACAGGTAATGATATTAATCACATAACTACCCTCATTTACATAAAGTTTGCAATGATTGCATACAATGTACACCTGTATTAAGATCAAGCAGCAGTGATTGGCAGAAGATTCACATTGTTTTTAATTCATTTGTGATGTCATAACTTCATGATGAGAAATATATATAAATGGGAATATCACCAATATAGATTTTATATTTTGATACCAAAGGTTTGTTTTGACAAATACTGAAAATAGTATCAATCTTTTGTGATAAACTGCATCACAGTTTCTGAGTTTCTATTTCATATTAGATGAAAACTTGTGTAAGAATCTCTCTAATGTTTAGGGTAGTTTATACATATTGTATTTATCATAGATCAAACAAGCTAGTCACTGTGGCTTGTACACATTACTTCAAACAGACATCTTTTTATTCAGAAAATGGAGTCGGCTTCTGTGAACTATAGAGCCTTAAAATATTGTTGTTGATAATTTTAGGATTGACAGCTGACTAAGGTGTCAAAATATTGAACATAAATTGTGTCAGAGACCTTGCATGCTTCATCTAAATTTGATGGATAGGGGCACAGTTCTAGTGTAATAGGAGCAGAAAAATATATGGCCAGACCTGGGTTCACACCTGGAACACCCCAAACTCTTAGATAGATGCTGTACACATTGAGCTACCTTGTCACATAAGGATTGACTCATTCCAGTTCTACTGCAACCCTGACTCCTTTTTCGAAGTCTTCACCCCCAAAGACAACTATTCACAACCCAATGATTAACAGAAACTTAAACTGAAACTAATGACCTTCTGAACTCTACATGTTCTACCAATTAGCTACCTGCTTGCCAACAATCAAGCCAGTCCAATTCTGCTACATTCCTTCCCTCCTTTTTTTGAAGTCTTAGCCCCCAAAGACACAACTATTAACAAGCCAACAAGGAGCAGGTAAATGCATGGCCTGACCAGGGTTAGAACCTCCCACAGTCCGACCTCTAGATGGATGCTCTACCAGTTGAGCTACCTTGATTGAAAGTATAAAACAGCTGTACAGTATGAAATTTTATTCATATCCAATGAAAGATATTTTTTTTGTGAGAAATGAAATTGTTTTCAGATACAATGTTGAGATTGATTTCTAACATACCAGTAAATCAACTTACAGTTCTTTGTTTCTCTTTAGAGTACAAGTACCAGAAATGGCTTTTTCAAGAGGACCTGTTTTAGTCACAACCCATCTTCTTTCACATCGAGCATTACAGATGACAACACTAAACATGTAAAGGATGAAGTGAAGGCCTGGGACATCACTCGGGCCATGCTGGGATATGTCTGGCCAAAGGATAAACCCAGCATTAGGATCCGAGTGGTAGCAGCCATGGCACTTCTTATTGGGTCAAAGGTCAGTTATAGTACATTTTTTAGGTTGCCTGCATTCTTATGTGGAAATTCTATGCTGGAAGATAATGAAATACTCTATATAACAATATCCAAGATGAAGAAATTTGAATTATATTATGTATTTTTCAGTACATAGAAATTGATTTGATTTAAGCATACTTCATTGTAACAATTACAAAGGGATTGGGCACAAGTTTTCCAACTGATGTTAAGCCCTTTCCCTATAAAGTTCGACAAAAGACATATGGACAAGGCAAAATGACATTTTAACAACAAAATTACACACACACAGATCAAAATCTTATGGAGTTAAATGTATAACGCTGAGAGATTTGGCATATATTTTACATATCTTTATTCGAGCAGTCATCACTACCATGTAGTAGTAACTGCAGGTCTAGTGGGATAAAATCATTTAATTCTTGATATTAAATTACTCTCTGATATGCTGTACACTTTTCAATACTTTCCAGCTTTTCTAAAGTTCATCACATCCTGTTCCTTATTCCACTTTCTCCTTTCATCTGGTCCTTCTTGTAATTCTCACCAGTAGTGTGCCGAAGTCAGCAGAGACATATTTTATTTTAGAGAAAAGGAGAAAGATCAAAATCTGTTTGAGTTAACAATATATTGCAGAGTGATTTGACATATTTTTACATTATCTTCATTCAGTTAGTTATCAATACCATGTAGTAGTAACTGCAGGTCTAGTGGGATCAAATCATTTATTTCTGGGTATAAAATTACTCTATGGTTTGCATAATTATTACAAGAAGAGAAGTAATGGTAAGTGTCTTTGAGAGATGTCTGCATTGTCAGTGATAGTAATATATTAAATTGGATCTGAATAGGTCATTGTTTAAAGTACTGTACTAGAATTATTTCTTAGTCTAGCATGTAGTATATTAGCTTTCCGATGACCAATCGTATAATAAGTAACTAAGCATTAGCATAATCTCTTCTATATTGTTCTCAAGCTTTACATTTTAGCTTGAACACCAATAATATTTTGCATTTGAACTTAAGATATATATTGTAACATCTTTTCTCCTTTTCTTGATTCTTTCATCTACTTCTTTATCAGAGTTTTTTGCTGTTTTCAGCCAAAAACAGACCTTTTCACTCTTGCTTAAAAGTGTTTATCTAGAGACATACACGTTTCATAACAAACTGAAGTAGTCGTTAAAACAAAATTGCCTATTTTAAGACTATCATAGCAGTCCATCTTTGCCTGATTAAGAATAGTGAGGAAAATTTCCATCACATATTTACAAAGTATTTTTTTGTTCATGCTCAGTTGTCTTAAAAGCAAATTTTAAAACATTACACAGAATTTCACCAATAGATCTCAAAGTAATGATTTAGGAGCTATGTCTTTCTTGTTTTTCACCTTTCACATTCAGGAGTTCACACAATTTTTAAACAAATTCTGTCAACCCAATATCAAATACAGTTCTCAGTTGTCAAATCTTATCAAACTTTCTTTGTTTCTTTGCAGGCTGTGAATGTACAAGTACCATTTATATTTAAGTATGCCATAGACTTTCTTAATGAACCTAGTAATTTATTGAATATGGATTCAGCACCAGCTACTGTGGTTACTTCAGCTACAGCAATTCTTCTTGGTTGTAAGTGTGACTTTTTACAATGTATTACACTAAGTATAATACAAAAGTCATTGAGTTCTCAGTTTTTAATCAATTATAAAATTTACCATACTAATGATAGCTTTTGTTCAGGATAAAGTCATTCTCTGTTTTCACAAGCATTTACACATGAGAAAGCCACTTAAACTTTCAGTTTATTCAGGGAGATATTATTGATGTAAAAATCAAATTGAATATTTTTAGATGGAATAGCCAGAAGCACTGCCCAAGCCTTTCATGAGCTACGTAATGCCTTATTTGGGAAAGTTGCACAGGATTCCATCAGACGTGTGGCGAGGAAGGTTTTTCTACACTTACACAGTTTAGATTTGTCCTACCATCTCCAGCGGCAGACTGGAGCTCTGTCCAAGGCTATTGACAGAGGCACGAGGTAGTCTTTTTTTCATATAAGACAATATAAATGTGAATTAATCAATCATTAGACTCCCCATCTGCCTGACTGAATGCTGTTTTTAGTCTGGTTAATTATGTTTCAGTAATATAATGGATTTAGTTTTAGATATAAATGAAGATTATGACATGTAAATCTCAAACAGACAACAAGACTGGAAATTTTTATGTTCACAGTTCAGTTTTATGTTAAAACACCATATTCAATAGCAGCCTGTTTCTGCTGACTTGTCTCACATCATTGTTTTATGTAGCTACTACCAGAATAACAAATGATTTCACATAATTAAACTAAAGAGATAATTTGGTATACAATTCTGACATAAAGTTGTCAGCTTCGTCTTCAACCAGTTAACTGAATGTATAGCCATTTTAAAGTAATAGATTAAAACTGATTCACACAATCCTACCTTTTGGTTTACAATAAAATAGATAGTGCTACTGGTAGTATCTAAAACAACATGATCAAACCAGATTACTATTATATTTATCTGAGTGTTTTTTATAACTGTTATATGAATTTTTAATAGGGGTATAAATACTACACTGACAGCACTGGTATTCAACCTAGGACCCACAGCTTTGGAATGCCTCCTGGTGACTTCTCTACTGGTGTGTTTCTCCACTTGAAGCCTTTATCCTCAGTAATGTAAACAGTGTTTTGTACTTGTTTTATGCCACATGTTTCAAGTATAATTAGTTATGATATAACATGATCTTAATTTGTAAATACTTGATAAACAGAACATTAAATCCAACCCCTTTTCACACAAGAGATCCTTGGCATTTGTATTGCAACAACTGTAATAGATATGGGCAGGCTTAAAATCAGTTGTGGGCTTATTACTAGCTAAACAAGTTTATGTAAGAATGAGTCTTATAACAGGAAAGATCTCCATAGATTGCTCAACACACCAATCTTCTTACTAGTGTCTGCCCATTGGATATTGATTCTGTACAAACCTGTTTGTGTTTGTAGTACTACAACTGTGGACTTTACTACGCTGGCGTGGCAATTGGATGTATATCTGTGTATGCTACTTTCACACTCTCATTTACACAGTGGAGGTAGGAACCTGTTTCGTATCATAATTTATATGGCAGTTCTCAGGTCTTATACATTCAAAAACATGAGATCCATTAGTTATATAAGATGTATTTCTCCAAATGATAGGAAAGTCACAGAAACAGAAAACTTCAAATCTAGGGAAACTCATAATGTTGTCAGCTTTGAGAAAGCCTGAAACCTATCAGAAGTTCAAACTATATACTTGTTTTTCATAGATAAGATTTTGGTATTGACTTACTTCTTTAAAAATGTTTTTTCAAATATATTGGATATTTTTGCTGAATCCTCTGTTTCAATTCTATCGTTGATGAATTACTTATCGAAACATGTTGGTAACATCTGGGATACATTGTACAGGATTACTGTGGAAACTTGTATTTTGCATTCAGAACAAAGTTTAGAAAGCAGATGAATGCAGCTGATTCTGATGCTGGCAATATGGCTATTGATTCTCTTATAAACTACGAGACTGTCAAGGTAAGATGATACACCAAGGATGTTGCACTGAATTTACCACATGTTTGTTTAACGTAAGATATAACACCTGGATTTATCACATAAGATTAAATTTAGGATGTAACACCTAAATTTACTTTTTAACGGTAAAATTTAGGATGTAACACCTAAATTTAATATTTAACAGTTAAATTTAGGATATAGCACCTAAATTTATGATTTATCAGTTAAATACATGATTTTACAACTGAATTTACCATGTATCAGTTAAATTTAGGATGTTACACCTGAATTTACCATTTATCAGTTAAATTTAGAATGTTACACCAGAATTTACCAGGTATCAGGAGCTTTAAATTAACAGTAAAACAGGCGTTCTTCCTTTCATTATTTGCCTTTCAATTTACTGTTAAATATATTCCCAGGTGTTCACTTATTTTTCTTTTAAATTTCCGCTGTGATGCCCGTTATATAATCTTACAATATGTTATGATACCAATATTTTGATATTAAATCAAATGGTGCCCTTACGTAAAATAGCTATAACTACTGATCATCATTGTTTAGACAGAGATAGGATCATTAATTTGCCAAAACCAGACCATGCAAAATCATGCCTGTTAATATTGACGCATCAGTGACACATTGTATATTACTGATGGTGACATAGCATATCTTACATGTCTTGGTTAAGTATCAGAATTGTTATTTCAGTACTTTAACAATGAGACATATGAGGCAGACAGGTATGACAAAGTCCTTGCCAGGTACGAGAAGGCATCACTTAAAATCACTACCAGCCTTGCTGCTCTGAATTTCGGCCAGAACTTCATTTTCAGTGTTGGTCTAACAACAATGATGATTCTGTGTAGCCAAGACATCACAGCAGGTAATTCCTACCTTAATAAATAGTGAAAACCAACAATATTAATCCCACACCAGTACAGTTGTATCGGTAGGCTTTCAATCTGCCAGTCCTTGGTTCACCTTTTCAATGGTAGAGTCATATACTCTAGTGCTATATTCAGATAATAACCCATTGTGTACTGTGTGTCATTTTGTCAAATGCATATTAGTCTCCATTTGTTGTCTATATAACTGTCCTTTGAAGAATTTCTGTTATTGCTATTTCAGGAGAAGCAATAAATAGATCACTGTCAAATTCCGTATGTAGGTTCTGCTATAACCCTAGTTGTTGTGCATAGTCTATTTTGGGATGACAGAAAAAATAAACTTCTGATTTGACCGTTAAAGAATTTTATTGCTTTTTCTGAAGAGGAATTCTCACATATCACATAATTAAAGATTAAAACAGAGGAAAGAAAAGAGGAGAAAAAAGAGGAAAAGAACAAATAAAAATAAAACAAAAGTGGATTTAAATATTGCTCCTGGGATTTCTTGTTTCCTTAAATATGTCACCTACAGTTGTTATAATATTGAATATTATCTGATGACTGGGAGACCTTGAGCTGGTCACTAGCCTATTTTCAGACCTATATTTGTTCTAGCTGTACATTTGATGACTATGGGAGACCTAGTGATTGCTAGTAGTCTGCTGTCAAACCTTTTGTTTTGTTCTGTCTGTAGGTACAATTCTAATTAGAGATCTCATGATGGTCATCAGACTGTTTTCAGACCATTATTTGTCCTCTGATTGTATAAAAGAGGGAAACTTGGTGATGGTCTGTGGCCTATTTTTAGCATTACATTTGTTTTGTTCGTAGGTACTATGACAGTGAGAGACCTGGTGATAGTCAGTAGCCTGTTTTCAGCCTGTTTGTAGGTACGATGACAGTGAGAGACCTAGTGATGTTCAGAAGCCTGTTTTCAGCCTGTTTGTAGGTACGATGACAGTGAGAGACCTAGTGATGGTCAGAAGCCTGTTTTCAGACTAACATTTGTTCTGTTTGTAGGTACAATGACAGTGAGAGACCTAGTGATGGTCAGAAGCCTGTTTTCAGCCTGTTTGTAGGTACGATGACAGTGAAAGACCTAGTGATGGTCAGAAGCCTGTTTTCAGTCTAACATTTGTTCTGTTTGTAGGTACAATGACAGTGGGAGACCTAGTGATGGTCAGAAGCCTGTTTTCAGCTTGTTTGTAGGTACGATGACAGTGGGAGACCTAGTGATGGTCAGAAGCCTGCTTTCAGCCTGTTTGTAGGTACAATGACAGTGAGAGACCTAGTGATGGTCAGAAGCCTGTTTTCAGTCTAACATTTGTTCTGTTTGTAGGTACAATGACAGTGGGAGACCTGGTGATGGTAAATGGGCTGTTGTTCCAATTGTCAGTTCCTTTGAATTTCCTGGGATCTGTGTACAGAGATGTCAATCAGGCAATCGTAGACATGCATACCATGTTCAGTTTACTAAAAATCAAAAGTGGTGTGCAGGTAGGTTCCTTGCAACTGTCTTTCAAAAAAAGTTTGGGAAATGGTGTCCCTTCATAATATTTTGAATGTACAAAGCATGTTTTTAGATTTAACCTTTCTGTCATTTAATGTGACAATTTGCACATACATATCATATTCATGTTGTGAAGGTATGCACTTCCTTTTTCATGACAGAAATTCGTCTGAAATACAAAATCATATATCTTATTCCTTTTTTCTTTATGAGAATGTTTGCAATCCTTTACAAGTCTGATTTGTCAAAAAAACCAATTACCGGTAGATTGATGCTTCCTCTTTCATTCTATATATAAGTAACAATGATAATAACTTCTGGATAAGTTGTTCATGAGATATCACCTGTATTCGATTAAGAAACAGACTATGTGTATTTACCTCTGTGAATTGGCTGTTGCAGACCTTGCCTAATGCTCCCATGCTTCAGGCTTCCCCACAGCACTCAGCTATTTCCTTTGATAATGTCCACTTCGAATACACCCCAGGCCGCAGCATTCTGAATGGATTAACTTTTGATGTACCGTCCGGCAAGAAAGTAGCCATTGTGGGTGGCAGTGGATCTGGGTAAACCATTAACAGCAAACTGTTTTTTCCTTGGTCACTCTTTCAATTGAAACCTGTAATTCTACATTTCAAATAAGAACCTACGAAGATGTTGGCATTCCTATCTGGTGCAGTTGAGTGTTGTTGTGCTATATACTGTACAAGCATTAACATGGTGGAATCCCCATGATCAGTAGATAAATACTCAGAAATGTAGAATCCTAATTTGAATCACTGTAAATATTTAGACATTCTGTCATGGATACTATCAAAAAAAAAAAAGGATATTTCAAATCTGGTCTACGATCTGTACCTTTCAGGAAATCTACCATAGTACGATTGTTGTATCGTTTCTATGATCCTCAGCAAGGCAGCATCACAATCAACAACCAAAGCATACAGGAGTTAAACCTTGACAGTGTGCGAAAGGCCATAGGGGTCGTACCTCAGGTATTGACATCAGTGTCACAATAATGGAAAAAATGGAAATCAATGTAAAAATCAGAATTTGATAAGTAAACAGAACGTCTATATCTTAGACATATCAGAGATAGAATACAACATGTCAGACTGACTTCTTTTTCTCAGTAAATATGTTGGATTATGAGCGCAAATTGTCCTTTATCAAAAGTAAATTGGTAACAATTAACAGGTATTTGAATTAAGGGACATATTGATCAGCAAACTATTTGAATATTGCTAGATATAGTAAATATATCCAGGGATTTTACCAGCTATTTTGGGAATGGAACACAGTTTTAACATTGGGAAACTTTGTTAACATTTTACAACAAATGGGGACAATAGCTTCCATTTTATGACTCTTGTATACAAGTGACAAGATATCAAAACTCAATAAAAGTAGCCTATACTATCAGTTTTAATTGATTCAATTATGTTTCCCAATGTTCCCCTTGGATTTTAGAACTTCAGGTAACCACGGATACACATCTTGAATTTCACCAATTTGAGGTGATTTTAAATGTCGTTTGGGATAGATACGGAACACTGGCTTCAGCATAGGACCAGATGACAGGAAAATTCCCCCTTGCTTGACTTTTACGTTTCTTTCTACAAAATGCTGATTGATGTTGGGGAAATTAAAGTGAAATTTGCTGAAATACAGAACATTTTTCCATTGGAAATTGGGCCCAATACTGAACCCAAAATGTCTGTTATCACTCTACATGCATGACCGTTATGATTAATGTCATTTCTCAGGAAACTTGCTTGTCAGAAATAGTAATAATAGGTTGGAAACTGTGACACAGTAAAAGTAGTTTAGATTCAATGAAATAATAAAAATGTTAGTACTGATGGCCGAGTTGTTTTCTCAGAATCTGCTATTTATTTTGAATAAACAATTGATTATGGAGTAGAAAGAAGTTAAATAACAGATATCATATAATCACAGTATTAAACTTTTCTTGTGAAGAAAAGTTGTGTATCGTTACACTTTATAAATGCTTTTTTCATGTATCAGACTTCTGTGCCTTACTTTGAAGGACTTGTGTTGTGGTAAAAAAAAGTTCTGCCGTTAATAGGTTAGAATATTGAGTATCAGGAAACAAATGCCTCATCTCTTTATCCAGTGTTAATTTCACCATGAAAGTATGATAATTTGGATTTCAGCTTTAATGTAAAACTTAACCCACTGTTTTATTTCTACCTTATTGGCAAAAGGGTGAAAGGGGTGGAAGTTGAACTGCTGTGAATGTTTCACTGCATACTGTATGTCAGAATATGTCTGTTTTTTAGGACTGTGTGCTGTTCCATGACACCGTCTACAACAATATTCTGTATGGGGATCTCACTAAAAGCGAGCAGGAGGTAGAGGATGCAGCTAAGATGGCAAGACTTCATGACTCCATTATGCACAGGTTTCCAGCTCAGTACCAAACCCAGGTGGGAGAACGAGGACTTAAACTATCAGGTAATACTGACTGTCATTCATTTACAATTGCTGATGAGTAACATTAAGTTGAAAATGGGTGCCTGCTTTTTAATCAAGTTTCATAATATTTTTTTTGATCTCATTGATCACAGTCTTGGAAAAGTTGATAAATCCAAACTCAGTGAAGACATCGGTAATTATAACTTTTTCAAAACTGAGTCTATGAAGTAATCCATCAATTTCATCCAAGATAGATCACGTTTCCATGATTTTCATCTGCAGGAGGAGAAAAGCAGAGAGTAGCTATAGCTCGCACTATTTTGAAGAATCCCCCGATCATTGTCTATGATGAGGCTACATCTTCACTGGATACTATAACAGAACAGGTCAGTTCAATAAATCATGTGAGAGAAACAGCACCGCTGAGAAAAATGAAAGGTTTAACCAATCACAGAACAAGTCAGTTTAACCAATCAAAAAAAAGAGTCATTTTAACCAGTCATAGAAGAGGTACAGCATCAACCATAGATCAGGTCAGTTTACCAATCACAGAACAGGTACAGCATCAACCATAGATCACGTCATTTACCAATCACAGAACAGGTACAGCATCAACCATAGATCAGGACAGTTTACCAATCACAGAACAGGTACAGCATCAACCATAGATCAGGACAGTTTACCAATCACAGAACAGGTACAGCAATAACCATAGATCAGGTCAGTTTACCAATCACAGAACAGGTACAGCAATAACCATAGATCAGGACAGTTTACCAATCACAGAACAAGTACAGCAATAACCATAGATCAGGTCAGTTTACCAATCACAGAACAGGTACAGCATCAACCATAGATCAGGTCAGTTTACCAATCACAGAACAGGTACAGCATCAACCATAGATCAGGACAGTTTACCAATCACAGAACAGGTACAGCATCAACCATAGATCAGGACAGTTTACCAAACACAGAACAGGTACAGCATCAACCATAGATCAGGACAGTTTACCAATCACAGAACAGGTACAGCATCAACCATAGATCAGGTCAGTTTACCAAACACAGAACAAGTACAGCAATAACCATAGATCAGGACAGTTTACCAATCACAGAACAGGTACAGCATCAACCATAGATCAGGTCAGTTTACCAAACACAGAACAAGTACAGCAATAACCATAGATCAGGACAGTTTACCAATCACAGAACAGGTACAGCATCAACCATAGATCAGGTCAGTTTACCAAACACAGAACAAGTACAGCAATAACCATAGAATCAGGACAGTTTACCAATCACAGAACAGGTACAGCATCAACCATAGATCAGGACAGTTTACCAATCACAGAACAGGTACAGCATCAACCATAGATCAGGACAGTTTACCAATCACAGAACAGGTACAGCATCAACCATAGATCAGGACAGTTTACCAATCACAGAACAGGTACAGCATCAACCATAGATCAGGTCAGTTTACCAATCACAGAACAGGTACAGCATCAACCATAGATCAGGACAGTTTACCAATCACAGAACAGGTACAGCATCAACCATAGATCAGGACAGTTTACCAATCACAGAACAGGTACAGCATCAACCATAGATCAGGTCAGTTTACCAATCACAGAACAGGTACAGCATCAACCATAGATCAAGACAGTTTACCAATCACAGAACAGGTACAGCATCAACCATAGATCAGGTCAGTTTACCAATCACAGAACAGGTACAGCATCAACCAGAGATCAGGTCAGTTTACCAAACACAGAACAGGTACAGCATCAACCATAGATCAGGACAGTTTACCAATCACAGAACAGGTACAGCATCAACCATAAAACAAGTACAGCACCATCTATAGATTATGTACAGCACCATCTATAGATTAGGTACAGAACCAAGCATTAAACAGGTACAGAACCACCCTTAGAATGAGTACAGCACCGTCTATAGATCTGGTACAGAACCAACTTTTTAACAAGTACAACACCATCCATAGAATAGGTACAGCACCATCCATAGAACAAGTACAGCACCATCCATAGAATAGGTACAGCACCACTCTTAGAACAAGTACAGCACCATCTATAGATTATGTACAGCACCATCTATAGATTAGGTACAGAACCAAGCATTAAACAGGTACAGAACCACCCTTAGAATGAGTACAGCACCGTCTATAGATCTGGTACAGAACCAACTTTTTAACAAGTACAGCACCACCCGTAGAACAAGTACAGCACCATCCATAGAATAGGTACAACACCAACCATGGAAGAGGTCAGTTTACTAATCACGGAACAGGACGTTTATACAGGCACATAACATATACCTTCCAAATTACAGACAGATTCCTTATCAATCACAAAACAGTTATACATGTAGTTTACCTGTTTAGAGAAAAGGTAAGAAAACCAGTTTAGACAACTGGTCCTTACTAACAATTATAGGCCAGATCAAATTAACAAATTATGTAACAGTCATTCAATATAAATGCACCATTAGAAATCCCCAGTCCTGAGCTGAGGAATAGTAGGTTTTACAAAAGATTTATAACTAATGTTGCTGTTACAGAACATCCTGGAAGCTCTTCGTAGGGTAACAAAGGGACGCACTACAATTGTGATTGCACACAGACTGTCATCAGTTGTAGATGCGGATGAGATCTTGGTGCTTGGGCAAGGCACTGTGGCAGAACGTGGAACACACTTTGGACTGCTCTCCAATCCTCTCAGCCTTTATGCAGACCTATGGAGAAAACAAAACCAGTTGCCAGAAAATGAAAAGGAGAAAGAAACATAAGTGACAGTGACATTTTATAATATTCAAAAGATGTCATGGATTAGTTTGTTCTGCTGATTATGAATAAGAATTAAAATCAATTGGATTTTAACCAGGAAATTTTTATACAGATTATGTTGATGTGTGTGATATTTTTAATCTTGTTGAAAATAAAGTGTGATATTTATTTTCTCACATACCACAACCAATGATATTTCAGTTTATAGTTTATATAACTTTTATACAATTTCATCTCTATGACTGAATGAAAGAATTTTCTTTTAAATCCACTCTGGTGAAATATTCAATTTTGATTTTGGTGCTAAAATCAAAAATACAAATACAGCTAATACTTCCCATATATCTTGTAGATATTATTTTTAAAATGCCTTTAGACCAATGGACATAGAAAGTCCCTGTCAGATTGTTAATGGAATGGTCCTAAGATTGATTTTCATTTTATAATTGATTTCATATTGGTTTTTGTTTTGTTTATTTTCCATTTTGTTTCTAAAAAGGGATTTTCAAGCATTCGTAATTCCATCAGTTTCATAAGATATTGTATTTGTAGAACAGATAGTATAGAAAGTGGCTGACACAAATACTGATACATTGTTTTACTGTAGAACAGATAGTATAGAAAGTGGCTGACACAAATACTACTACATTGTTTTACTGTAGAACAGGTAGTAAAGAAAGTGGCTGACACAAATACTAAAACATTGTTTTACTGTAGAACAGGTAGTATAGAAAGTAGCTGACACAAATACTACTACATTGTTTTACTGTAGAACAGATAGTATAGAAAGTGGCTGACACAAATACTACTACATTGTTTTACTGTAGAACAGGTAGTATAGAAAGTGGCTGACACAAATACTAATACATTGTTTTACTGTAGAACAGATAGTATAGAAAGTGGCTGACACAAATACTAATACATTGTTTTACTTGATGTTATAACTTTTAGGCAAATGTTTACTAGTGCATATCATTAATTATTTTGTCACCTCCATTTAAAGGTTGTACCTATTTACTCCGCCCTTGTGTTGAAAAGTTCATTCAAAATTCAAATCTTAAAATATTCCTTTTAGGGAATATTTGTTCACCCTTAACCTAACACCTTAAGAAAATGATTTGATGATAGGACTGGTCAGTGCTATAGCAGTGGAGAACAATATGATTAAATCAGGCCATGACGCTCAAATAAACGACTTATTAATGACAGTATAGTAGTTATATACACCTGATATAGACCAGAATGACCTAGCTTGTCCGCCTTTATTTTACCCCCTTGTGACGAATGTCCAAGACCAGAGTTCTTGGACAAGTTTGTGTTTCCTGTTGTGGGGTCAAGGTCACTGTAATTATTTTAAGTTATTCCTTGTCAGCACTCTGAATGATGTCGTTCCTTTAGGAATCATAATTTCACTTGCATATTTAGCTTTTCATGTAAGTTTAGGTAGAACTGAAAGGGAATTTGTTTAATGTGAAATGCCTTGTTAATATATGGATTATAGATTAGGTTATATAAAGAGAGGCATACAAGATCCACATCATCCTCGGGTATGACATCTTATGTATAAAAAGTTAAGAAAGTAATCTGTAAACTTTAATATTACAGGTAAAATTCAATAAAACAGGTAATTCTGGTAGGAATAGGCACAGTATACTGGATCTTAGAAATACATACACATAGTTATTATATCACTCTAAGCTCCAATAGCACAGGCTTTGTTGACTCTCAGGTAAATTGAAAAAAAACTTCAGATAATCTTAATATTATAATCTTAATATAATAATCTTAATATTATAATCTTAATATTATAATCTTAATATAATAATCTTAATATTATAATCTTAATATTATAATCTTAATATAATAATCTTAATATTATAATCTGAATATACTCAGAAATTTGTCATGATACAGCAAAAGTAAAAAAGAATTAGGATCAGTTTATATACAGGTGATAACTTATATACAGGTGATAACGTATATACAGGTGATAACTATATACAGGTGATAACTATACAGGTGATATTTGTGATTTCCCTTTTGAAATGATTTAGTTTACACCAATATGGCCTCCATGGCAAGAAGCTTATATCATGTACATCTGAATCACCAAGATGTTTGTTCATTGATTACTTGTGACCTTGGTTAACAGTTTTATTTTAGATTTAATTATACAGAGGCAGAATCGATGAAGCAGAAGTGTCAACTTTTCAGAGTATTGTTATTTATCATTGTTATAGTTATGTAATGGATGCTTTGAGGTTTTTTTTTGTTTTGTTTCTCTTGTTATGGCTGTAGTTTTAGAATCAGAAATATGTCAATTTAACACATAGTGCGAGAATAATGTATACCCGGTATGTGTATGTTTAAGTAATAAATGCAGGGTGATTGATCATAAATGCTTACTCTAATGTTTTTTTTTAATTTTGTAGTTTAAACCTGTTAACATTATGTATTTGTTTAATGACATTTACTATATTTGTGTATACCATAATTCATAGATTTGAAAATAAGATAAAAACTTAATTTACCAAGATTTTAAACTGAAAAAACAGAGGTTCTATTTGCATTTTCAATATACTAGAACTGTACCAAGTATTCTCATATTGTTTAGATGCAGATTTTTTCAGACCAGGATTTTTCCACTGGATATGTGCATTTGGCAGTAAACAAGTGTGAAAACCTTCAGGGTATGCCAGCTTGAGAATGATCTTGTCTGGGATATATCTTTATACTTTTGATACTTCCAAGTGTTGAATCCAAAATGTTGGAACATATCTGAAAAATAAACCCTTTTGGTGGAGGATGAACTGAAAACAGTTTCAGCTGGATACAACACAGCAATAAAGAAACGTTTTACATGTAGTGTTTGATTTTATTTGTAAGATGTGTTTATTTTACTGTTACATGACACATTTAAAAACAAGAGATCCCAGAGGGATCTTGGTGCCAACCATTGTTTGATCTTTATATGCTCTTTGAAAGTTGGATTTTTTCCCATCTTTTCTCCGTTTTTGCTCTTAATGATAAGACATTTGAACACTTCTTTGCAGAAATACCAATGATAATCTTCTGCCAAATCCAAAATGGATGCCTTTTTTTTTTCTTCTGGTCAGTCCCAAAATCAAACAAGTACAAGGAGACCAAAGGGAAAACACATTTGAAATTTGAGAGACATCCATTCAGTACTTCTTACGAAATAGCAATAACAATCTTTATTAAGCAAAATCCAAGATGGCTGCATGTCAGCCATTTAGTTTCTCTGATCAGTTCCAAACTCACACAGGCACAACTAGGGACCTATACCTATCAGTGTTACAGGTTTGTTGTGATAAGTTTCGATATGGATACATGTTGTGATTTTGTTTCCCTGTGAATAAGAAATATGATAACAAAATAGAGGATTCATAGTTTTTGTTTTGTTTTCATATGCAGAAAATTTTGACTGTATTTTGATATGGTGCTGTCCATCCATAACTTCCATTTTTCGAAAATCTCCAGTCTTGAATGATTTCTATGCGAGTTCATCCCTTATGCGAACCTTCCTACAAATTCCTTCAATAAGCTTAGTCCATGTATGCAGTACTCGTTTGCATTTTTGTATAAAAACACATCAAATTTTGATGAATATGAAACTACCTTAAAATGTTAGATTCACATATAAGTTATACCAATTTCACAAGTGACACTTATAATTTGGTTCTGTTGTATTAACACACAGAGATGATGACAGGACACTTTTCCTCAGCACATATTTTGAGGTTGGATGTTCTTTTCACCACAATGCAATTTCATCATGAAAGAACAGTTTTAATCTTGTAATAAATTTGTGCTGAAATATTGACAAAAGTTGGCATTTATCAAGTCTTATATTGGTAAATCTTCAGTGCTTTGATCAGCTAACAATGGAACTCTGCATTATGACCTTGAGCCAACGCAAGACTTGGTCATGTAACTTATTTCTACTACATTGCTAGTTATTGATTTGCCAAACATTAGATGATGGTGGGCTTTTCCAATCATTTTCTACATCAGACAGTTGCCATATCTTCTGCAATGACACCAATTGGGACAGCTACTACTAAGCAGTAAAAGCAAGACAATTTAATTTCCCATTTCTGGATAGCGACATACCCAACCTATGGTGATTACTTGGTGCAGTTGATTCAAAATTCAAGTGCTTCCCAATACATGAATTTTGTACAAGATGTTGGCGACTCATATACAGACCTTCAAGAGCTGCTGTTTGATGAAGATTGTGGGCAAGTTATATGGCCGTTGCAATGATCTTGTAGGAAAATATATAATTTCCTTCTGCAATATAAAGTTGGACACGTTTCATACTCATTAGTATCTATGGTGGTTCTGTTGTTGTTTACCTTAATGATATTACTTGCTTGGATTGACAAAGATTTACATGGCCGTGTCTTCCAGAAAACCTGGTCCAATTCTCCTTGTGCTTTTCTTGGAGTAAATGTAAATCTTTCTTTTTTTATTTTGCCCTCTTTTTTTTTGCAAGTTTGTATTAAGATTCTGTCAACAGGTCATTGAGTGTTTTTGTTATTAGTCTGCCATTCAATGAATTTTTGCTTACCACTATTTCTCCTGAACTATTTGGAGATCTTGAAACATCAGTGACAAGGGAAGTGTGGGGCCTTTATCTACATACCATATTGGAGACTTCATAGAATATTCAAGACAATGGTAAGTGCCATTTCAGATTTTGTCAAAATTGTAACCACAATTTCTTGAGAGCTTTGGGATATTTTGAAACTTCATATCAACACAACACACATTAAGTTTCATTGGATATTCAAAAATGTGGCCAGCAGTCATTTGAAATTGAAGATTTTTTCAAGTTTTGTACTGCAGTTTCTCAAGATGTAGTGTACAGATTTCGTATTCAAGTTTTAAGTTCTCTTAGGTTCAAGCTGGCCTACTGAAAGGATTCTACAATTTATCATTTTCAATATGGACCCAAGTTGTGCAAGTAACATTTTAAAGTTGATTGGATATTCAAGGTGGCCAGTGGTGGCAATTTTTGGTCATTTAAGCAATACTTTCCCTCTTTGTTTTCCACAAAGAACTATTGCAGAGATCTCTATACTTCATGAATATTTAAAATGCTGGAATATCTATACTCAATGAATATTCATTACTTAATCTTTTGAATTTTCTTCTACACTTTCAGTGAAAATAATCTTTTGAGTTTCTTATATTCGTACTGGAGATCAAGAAGGCTTATTCTAGAAATGAGAATGGGAAATTCAATTAAAATGTGTTGGTGGTAGGATAACTAATATTTAATGGTTAATATTCTCAGTAATCACATTATATTGTCATTAAAGGCCCTTGTCATACCCGAGATTTATTCCAACTACTTTTGAAATAAACCTCTCTGTTAAGTAAAACAAAACTGCTGAAGTAGTGATAAGGAATTTTATTCCAGTATAAAATGTTTACATCAAATTTGAAGATAATTATCAATGGACTAAAAGATGTAAAGATGTCCAAATCTTCCATCACTTGTACTTAAATAGATTTAGTCTTACATGTGCTCCAAGAATTGAACTGTTATTACTCCGCACACAAAATATTAACTTGTTACACTATTTCATGCCATCCACTGAATTCATTATTTCGTCGTTGTGTATATCCTATTTAGTATGACCTGAAAGTAAACATTAAAACTCTGGTCAAGCATTTGTTGAAGTAGAAACAATAAGATCTGGTTCTCAAACTCATCTTCTTGGAACACAACAAAATAATCATCAATACTTCTGTTCCTGAATCACAGTTGAAATAAAAGAGATTTAGAATTTATCGTTATTCATTCGTTAATCAAACTCAAGTTAACTATTTTTATGTCTCTTATATCAATATCTTAATGACAGCACGATGGGATAGTTGAGACTGGTTTCATTTTGTACAATAAAATTCCACAGCATTCATGCTTGAAAATGATGGGACTCTAACACTGCCCATAAAGCTTGTGGGTCCCCTCTGTATTTAAGTGGAAAATATCAGAAATCTCATGTGAGTAATTGTTAAGGTAACATACTGAACCATTATAAAGAGGTTAAATAATAAGTATTCTTTTATCATATTCAAATTTCATTTGCTCCCCATTTCAATTGTTGCATTGATAACTGGAGGCAAATAAGGAATGCATGAAAAAAAGGATAGAGTGCAAAAACCTAACATGTTAAAAAAAGATGGTGTGTACCCAGGCTGTCCTTGCAGAGTCTGATATAAACAAAAGTGGTTTTAAATGTGATTGAAATTTAGATTATGCTGTATATAAAGGCTGACTAAAGATGTTTTTGGTCAACCAAGGATGCTCATTCTTCATGTCAGCAGGAGAAACAATATGGAACTCCCATATACAAAATTATTGTGAAATTTAGCAGATAATTCAAAACAATTATTGAGTAGAAAGGTCAGTCAAGACAAAGTGATTTACCTAGTGTGAGAGAAAGTGTAAATGGGTCATTTCAGAAAGTGTGAAATTTGCCTTCTTTACAATGGTGGCAGATAACTTAACTAGTTGATAAAATATTGAACATGCATAATGGAAATAATAAACAAACAATAAGTATATCTACATGCTAGAAATATTACAAGGAAATGGAGAAAATTAGCCCACCTTGATCTGGATCTAGACCTTTGTTTGCGACTGGACTTCTTACCGCTGCTTCTCCTAGACTTATCATCCTCATACTTTTCCCTACGAGCCCTCCTGTTGCTAGAACGAGAGTCTTGTGATACACTTCTTCTTGAATACTTTCCAGAGGATTTCTTGTGCTTACTGCTGCTGTGCTTTGCATAACCATCACTATCTTCATCAGTCACAGATCGTTTCCTTTTCTTAGATTTTGACTTCGATTTGCTACTTCGATATTCATCATGCCTATCTCGTGACCTCCCACGATCCCTTTCCTTTTTTTCCCTACTTACACTCCTCTCCTTCCGCCTCCTTTTTTCCCGATCCCTTTCCCATGATCTTGACCTACTTTTATAACGTCTATCTTCTCTATCATATGAACGTGACCTACTTTTATGTCGTCTGTCATCTCTATCATATGAACGTGACCTACTTTTGTGCCGTCTCTGGTCCCTACTATGTCTACTGCGTCGTCGGTCATATTCTCTCTCCCGACTTCCACTATCTTCCCTGTATTTATCTCTACTTCCCTCTCCATCGTCCCTGTACCCATCCCGGCTATGTGACCTTTCCTCTCGCCTATCCCTGTCCTCCTCCCCTCTAGACTTTCTTGAGTCCTGTCTACTAGTCCTACGTTTCCTCACACTTTCCTCTTCTCGACTTTTCCTCCTGTCTTTGTCCACAGGTACACTACTGTCATCCACTCGGCTTACCTTACCTACACCAGATAATTTACTAGATACATTCTTTTTGGATGCAGACTTCTTTTTATGAGAACTTTTCCCTTCAGGGGAACTAGATGACCCGGAACTGGCCGAGGACACAGAACTACTTGAACTTCCAGAATCAGAATCACTATCACTACCACTTGAAGAACTTGAACTAGAAATGTCAGTAGTTTTTCTTGACTTCCTTTGTTTGTCTGAGGACTTTTTTGTTCGGTTTACTTTGCCCTCCCTCCCATCCCCCATATCCCTAGCTTCCTCTTGTTTCACATCCAAACCAGGAATTCCATTATATTTGTTCTCAAAAGGGTAACTTGCTTTCTTTTCAGATATTGCTTCTTTCAAAAAGGCTGGAGTCTCTGGTTCTGCAAAAGATAGAATTGTTATGAAACAAAAACCTTGTATGCCCTTCAACTTTTAAGTACATTCCATAAAACAATCTGATGTTGATTTCAATGTTAAATTTACGACCTATTAAGTTTGATAAACAACAGTATCATTGAAACTGATGAATACTCTGCGACACAAAATTTGAACAAAGGGCAATAATTCTGAAATTTGAGGGTTTCTGGTCACCAAGTTTCATTATCCTAGCTAAAATGAAAGCAAAGTTATGCTCTGGACAGTAAATTTTTAACAAAGAACAAAAACTCTGAGGGGTGGTGGGCTTTGATTTTGGTACACTACATATCGTCTTTGTATGACCAATGTATACACCTAATGTATGGGTGTATGCTACTCAAAAAATTTCTGGGGGTCATAACTAAAAGAGCCTTTATTTTCAACTTGGCTGTTACTAAAAAATATAACAGTCTAAAAATTTGTAAACTCAGCAACATAAATAAGCAACACTTGTAATTGGATTTTCTTCATGTAATCATATGATTCCTACCAATTTCGTCCTCCTCATATATTGGCTGGCTCTTTCTTCGCTCTTCAAAATCTCTCTTTTTACGTCGGATGGTCTCCTGTAGCTCAACGTCAGAGTCGTCCTCATCTGGACTTTCAGCATCTGCAGCATCTGAGTCACTGTCTGTCCCATACCCACCAAGACCTGTAAATATGGTATATACAGCTGAAAAAGTGTCACTTTAAATGTCTGTGATTGCAAGAATTCAAACCGTTTATCACAAATGATAATAGTTTAAATTGCTTGTTCCTACAACTTCGTTGTTTTATTGTCAAATACATTTTTCCTCTTAATCAAATACTAAATTTTTTTCTTTCAGTGTCAAATACCTATACTTTTTTTTAAATTTCCTTCCCTACAAGAAACTTGATGTACTATCAACATTTCTGAGAGAAATCCTGAATGTTAAACTTGTTGGATCCTTTTAGTGCCTAATGCTTACACATCAGCTCCAAGAAACAGACACCATTGTGAACAAAGAATCATATCAACCAGGCCATTTTGCTTTTTATTCATAAAAATTTTTACAATTTATAATATGATGTCACTTATAAATTAAAACTCCTGACAATTTCACTTCTGTTAGTTTAAAGGTTTATGTATTGTTTATTTTCATAATGATTTTCCTGTGTAAAAATGCTTCAATTTTTGAAATATGATGATGGGTTGAAACCACTGCTTAAACTCCAAGTAATCATGAAAAAACCCAACTTTGCTTTTTATCACTTTTGTGTTCAATATTTAGCGAATAATACTAACTCTGATTAGGTATTATATGAAATAGTATGATACGCCAACCAACGTTACAGTCTGGTAATGTTGTGTACATACATACTAAATCTAATGTAATTGTGAGGGAATTTAAGCTTGCATGTGACCTAATCAAATGACTTTGATAAGCAAATGGCCTTCAGAAGAAATCAGGTTGAAAACATAGACAATGTAAATGTTGACAGAAAGGACAGATAGGCAGACAGATGTCTGATGTCTGAAACTTCTGATCATAAATATTTATGAGCACGTCGTGAGACTCTGAAATAAGTAGCATACTTACCAAGACCCGTCAAGGTTGCTAAAGCAGTGGACTTGGATAGCTGCTTTGCCGGAGCTTTTGTATAATTATATAGACATGATTAGTACAGATGTACTCAGCAAAACGAAAGTAAAAGTAGACACTTCCTTTCTTGTCTAGGGGAGACAACTCTCTCTTCCCCATCTGAGAATTCTGCTGTGAATACAATTTTGACTTTAAAACATATATCATGTTAAGGGGTAATCAGGGATGAGAGTACCTTAAACTTTGGTCAAGTATAAAAAACTGTCTTTCAGAGGTTCAATACTACCCAAATTAATACAAATGTCTTCTGAAATTTTTCATTCACAAACCTTGATTTTTGTTTGAATACAAAAATCTGATTTAAGAATTAACTCCATGTATTAAAAAAAAATCAATGGTCAGAATTCTTATGCTAAACAGCAAACTTCAATTTATCACTACAATGATAAACATTTATCCCCTCATCCCGATTTGTCAATGTTCAACATATGATAGAACACACAAGGAGAGTGATTTATCTTATCATTGGAAAACAGGTTAAGGTAATTCCATAACAGTGTTACCTAAAGTGTCGAAGAGTGGCATCTCAAACTAAAATATCTTAAGAATTTTGCCCTGGAAAATGGAATAGGGTTTAAAAGTTTGTTTTATTAAAAAAAATAAACATAACAATAACAAATGTACAAAAAAATATACACCAAAAGGACACCAGCTGAAATATAAACGGTTAATACAATACTGGCATCAACATTATAAATTGATATTGCACAATTTTTACCTGTAATATCAATAACCACAAATTCAGTCACGAGTCGGAATACAAACTTCACACTAATTAACAATGGAATCTTTTTGCATGTGTTGACAGCATTTTTGTTCAAAGAAAAGATAACAGTAATGCTCGGCAAGCTTAGTCAGCACCTTTTTGCACTGAACATGGCAAGGCAATGTATAATCAATATCAACAATCTTTCATCCTCCATTACAAAGACTATTTGGAACCACTACTGTGCGATGTGGTGGACCAGTTTGAAAATAAACACATGTTTTGAAATGTTTGCTACCTTTAGCAGCTCTGTTCTTTTCCTTATAATACACTTCCTTAGCTACAGCCTCCATTTCTGATGTTGTCACCTCCAATAAAACCTCAGTCAGCATCTTCCTTGTTTTCATAATCTGAAAGCAAAAATGCACTTGTTCAATAAGCAGCACTTAATAACTGATCCAATTTATAGTCAAACTTTGATGTTTCAAAGTTCAGGCAACTAGTAAAATACTTTGATACATTGAGACTTTGAATCATTTGTGGTGAGTTATATTGAATAGTTAATGACAAAAATTTCTACCTGAACAAACACCACAAACACTAAAACACAGTTTTAAATGAAAAGCAGCATTTTCTTTTTTAAAAAAAATCCCTACAATTACATTTGTGCCTTCATGTCATTAAGTTTATGTATTTTACATATCAATTTTAAATGAAAGAATGCATAGCATTAAAGTCACCTCATGTGTTACAATAATCATAATGCATCCTGTCCAGAAACGACAGCAGACACAACACACATCACCGGTATTAAAAATTACACGGGTGTTTCTTGATGTTCTGACAATGGCTTGTCTTAATCAATAGCAGAACACATTGATTGACAAATAAACCATGGTTTCTCATGCTTTAATGCTTAAAACTGAAAAAGGCTGTTGCAGGAATTAGTGAAATACAAGTGTTCAGGATTTCCTCCAATTGTTTTCACAATTCTCAAATTAGACCTAACTACTTTTTTATGCTATTGCTGCAAAGGCAGCGGCGAACATCACATGACGTCTCATTATCTTTATCAAATGTTGTTGCTTGTAAGTACAGCCAGTAATAGTGCGCTAGTTTAATCCCATTGTCAGGTAGCACTCTTCGTCGAAATGTGTGAAATTTTGCAACAGAGCAAAAATACCTGTACACTATAGGTAAATGTTTTTATTTGAATTATGAGGTGTTAATGACTGTTATCAAAGCTAATGGCCTGTGAAAAGTTCAATTCATAAAACTCTGATTCATAATGGGGTAAGGTAGCAGTAATATATAGGAATGAAATTCAGGAACCAGACAAAAAATTCAACATATTGAGAAATTTGAATCATCAAAGTCCGATTTGTAAAGTTAGACTGTATATGTTGTAAAAAATATTCTGCTCAAAAGTTAAAATGTAATTTTCCAAAAAAGGCAACGCTAACATGTTCTTTGCAAATATGTTTTTTCATTTTGCAGGTACATTACTCTTACTTTCTTTTACAAAACACTCCAGCATGTTAAACAATCATTGCCTACAGTTTACATGACTACATCTAGGTTTCAGGGTACCAAAGACGGCTTGGGGAGCATTCTCATGTAAAAACCGCAAGGAACATTTCATTGTGTGGTAATATGAATTTGGTTATATTAAATGTGGTAGAAAAAGTTTGATTATATTTGAAAACAATAACTTGGAAAGGCCTATTGGTCAGTATCTATTCTCTGTACATTTATCTCACCTTTCTTACACTCTGATATATTGTATTAACTACTACTTTTTTAAGTGTTCTAACCATTTCTAGTTGTTTTTCCTCCTCAGTTTTGAATTCTTCAGGTGAAGGACTCCTCTTCTTTGGTTTGATTTCAGGTTTTGGCGACTTGGACTTGCTCCGACTGTGCTGTCTTTCTCCTTCCTCCTCATTATCAGAATCCTGGAAAACAAAAGTATTTTTATTGTCACACAGTCAATATTTTTGTAAGAACCCTACTCTTTCCTTACATAAAATAAACTAAAGCTAATTTCAGAACAGGGCATTTTAGGTCATTAATCAACTTTGAAGCTTCTGCACAAGTGCTAACTCTTCCTGTACTCAATGCAAATTTCCTGGTTGTTACAGGAAGTGACTTGGTCCTTTGAGTACAATGCTTATCCTACAAGATGACTGTAGTGCTCACTTCAATAAAAGGAAGATTTATGACTGTGTATTTATAATATTGGTACCTTGACATTTATGTACTGCAATCAAACATATAAAATGATGTTAAAACATTGTTATCAAATATCCAACTGGAAAAAAGGCAGAACCATTTGGTAACATGATGGCAAGTATGACTACTCTTGCACACATCTTGTCACTAGCATGTGATTCAACACTCATTTATAACCTACTTTATTCGTTGCATGCACAACTTGTTTCCTGTCTTATTTTGACAATAAACTGTACTAAATTGTATGTGTTTAATAGTTTTCAATAGTTTTATTCTGTTTTGCTCATCATCAATTACACAAATGTGATCCAACTCATCACAAAGGAAAGAAGCATGTTTACTGCAATGTGTCAAGATTGTCATGAAAGATACGGGAGTCCTTTTTTGTACCATCTCAGGACATCATGAGTATAAAAAGAATTAAAACCATTCAACTCTTTATATCAATTAATATTAAAAAAGAGAATTCTTTATTACACAATGCCCTTCAGGCATCTTGTTTGGTTGTATAGCTACTGATACCTATATTCTACATCATTTGCTATAACAGGTTTGTTCATCAAAACAAATAAACTAAGACTTCATTCCATGCATACAAATCTGCTTTTCTTTGGCATGCTTGGTTCTCCATCAGACTCTCCTGCTCTCTCCTTCAGAATCTCAGCAGCAGCTTCCTTCTCTGCCTGTTCTCGAGCCTCTTTTGCTTCCTGGAGTTCTTTCTCTCTCTTTTCTTTTTCCATTTTCTTTACTTTCTCCCTTTCCATCTTTTCAAGTCCTTCTCTTATCCAAGCAGGCAAATTTTTCCTCTTGGCTGCATCTGGAAGCAATGTTTTATAACTTACTTAACAAATGCATAAGATTTTGAAGAATTTCTTAGTTCAATGAACACACTAGTGATAGTTCTGTTATTTGCAGTCGAGAATCTTCTTTAAGACAAAAGAAAGTTTTGTTATGTATAATCAAAAGACATCTTCTATCCTCCAACAAAGCCTTTCCACTAATGACAAATGTCTTAAACTGTGTCCAGCAGACTGTATTGTTGTCTCAATATGTTGATACTTACCTATACCACTATCTTCTCCCTGAGGCAGAGAGAACCTGTTATGACCTTGACGATTGATGAAACCTTGGTTGTCATGGTTTTCCTGATCTTCAGATCCCCAGTACGACTGGTAGTCACCCTGGTTACCATCCTGGGGATTAACCAATGTTTGGATTAACAGAGCAAAATCATTATTGATTTTGTGATTGTGATGCTAGAATTAGTCGACATTAAGCTCATCGCTTGTCTTGATATTCAATATTTCTAATCTTCAAAACCACATTGAAACAAGAGATCCCAGAGGGATCTTTGCATTCAGCCCTGTTTTATCTTTATTTGCTCGTTGAAAGTTGGATCTTTTCCCTTCTTTTCTTTTTTTGCTTTTAATGATCAGAAATTTGTACATTCCTTTGCAGAAATAGCAATGATAATCTTTACCCATCAATTCTAAAATGGTTGTCTGGAACCCATTTTTTTCTTCTGATCAGTCCCAATATCAAATGGGCACCAGTAGAGACCAAAGGGAATACATGTATGAAATTTGTGAGATATTCATTCTTCAGACATAGGGATAACAATCTTTACTAAGTGAAATCCAAGATGGCTGCTTGTTGACCATTCTGTTTTTCTGATTCTCTGATTAGTCCTGAACTCTAACAGGCACAATCAGGGACAGGGAAGGAATTAAACATGGTGTAGTTCTTGGGGATAACAAACTGTCAAAGTCACAATCGAAGATGGAAGCCTGTAGGCCATATTCTTTTTCTGATCAGTACCAAATTCAAACAGGCACAACTAGGGATCAAGAGAAATATAAATATGAAATCTGAGAAAGATCTATGGTGCTGTACTCAGGATAACAACTGTGCAAAGTCAAAATCCAAGAAGGCCACCTGTCAGCCATTTTGTTTTTCAGATCAAACCCAAAATCAAATGGGCACAACCAGGGACCAAGGGAAACTACATAGGAAATTTATGACAGATCCAGCCAATATTTCTTAAGAAATAACAAACTTGCAAAGACAAATTCCAAGATGGCTGCCTGTCAGCCATTTTGTTTTCCTGAGCAGTCCCAAAATTAAATGGGGACAACTAGGCACAAATGGGAACCTACCAAGGAAATGTAGAGAGATCCAGCCTAATATCTGGAGAAATTGCAATAACAAACTTGCAATGTCAAAATCAAATGGGCACAACTAGGGACGAAGGGGAATCTACATAGGGATCCAGTACTTTTCAAGAAATAGCAATTGTTTATGGATGGATGGACAGACAGACCATGACATAGGGCAATATGAATAGCCTGCCATCTGATGATGGTGAGCTAGAAATTTACCTCCATTTGACAGCTACAATATCAATATAGACTAGAACAATGGCAGATCAGAAAGGACCCTGTCAAGTGGCTCTACATCCACCATAATTATCATAAGGCCATCTAAATTTGGACTTCAAAGACAATCACAAGGAAGTAAAATATATAAGTACAATGAGTCTTCTTTCCTTCCTCTACCTTTTTATATCACATTTGCTGCTGCACATATTTAAACATTCATTCATTTGAACTTTAAATTTCCCTGTCCTCCATGATTAGCCAGGGTCAGAGTGAAGTGCCTGGGTCAGAGATTATATCAGTAATATAAAACAGGATTTAACTCAATTTTCAAAAGAAATACAGATTGGCTATGATGTTTGCAGCCTAAACCATTGAGCTACATACAATCTCTGAATACATGGGAAATCTGTCATGTAGGTTAAAATTTACACAACAGCATACGTTTAGGAATATATTAAGTCTTATTGCAGCCCTCAGCAAATTTTTGAATACTTAAACATACACCAAGATCACATACTTTATAGCAAGTTTCATGTAATTCTGAGTGAAAAACATAATTACTAATCTCCATCAATGAAAGAATATGACAAATGTATTTAAGTTATCGGCAGGGAACTTAATTTGAGGTCAGTCTGACAGAGTGATTACTATTAGTGCACCTGTATGTCTAATATAGGGCCTTAACAACCTGCTCTGTACTTGAACTTGGCACCCATACATCTAACCAAGTGATCTTGGTCTTTGGTCAGTTTACTTCTTGTTTAAATTCTAACAAACTTTGCTTCCTAATGTCATATCAATATGTTTATATGTGAAAAGGTATTTTTTACCTTGACCAGTGGACCTAATGGCCTTGGCCATGGGTTTTTGCCTTAGTGTCTATTTTCATAAATCAAGATTTATTTGAATTGTTAACAGATATTGTGAATCACCAGTAAATGATTCTGTAGACAAATGTACAGTGATTACTACAGAGCACCCTATCTCAGATACATGGCCCTAATAAACAAAACCATAGTTTACAAGTATGGTCTCTATACCCTACAAGATCATACAATGGAATGGACATTCTCAGTAAGATGATTTGTTCCTTCCAACAGGATAAGTTTAATTTGTAAAGACTTACTTGTTGATAGTCGTAGTTTTCCTCCCCATGATTGTAATCAAACGACTGCTGGAACCCACCACCATGACTGTACTCATAGGTCTGCGATTCCTTAAGTGAAATATATTAACATCAGTCTTTAAATATCAAATGATTTGTTGTGCGTTTTAATCAACACAAATCATTTATCTGTATGATGTGGCCTGTTTTGTATTCTGACACTAAAAGATAAGAAGATTCTATTTACAGGATTCTGGTTATTGTTGTCAATAGTCATCAGTTTTTCTGAAGAGCTTACTTTTTTATCAAATCTTTAATGAATCAATACAAATGTGTATTTTTTGCTTACAATTTTTCCATCTTCAACAGGTGGTTGTGGCATGTTCCAGTTAGGTGGGGGCACACTCCAATTCTGTTGTAATCCCCATTCCCAGCCTTGAGGCTGACTTCCTTGTCCACCAAAATCTGACAAAATTTAACAAAAAATAAGTTGTAAAATTCTCCAATGTTCCTTATATGGAAACAAAATTATAGTACTCTCTTATCTGTTTTTTTCCACTAAATACTTCAGCTATGTCTATTAAAATAATTTCTTAAAGTGTATCAAGATTACTTGATATGCACAACAAGCATGCCATAAATTTTATTTGCAACACCTTTCAGAAGTAAAATATCACTAAAATATTACAGTTTAAGATTGAAGTAAAGCCAGAAAACGATGTAAGTAAAGCTTACTATTAAAATTACTGGCTTGGTTGGGTCCATTTTCATGATCCCCTTCATCTAACTCCATATCATCACCACCTCCTCCATTGGAAGGTCCTACAGGTGGAGGTGGCGGAGGACCAGAGTGCACATGCATCATCATGCTTGGTATGGGAGGTTGCTGTGGCATGCCTCCATGTTGTATTGGCGGAGGAGGTACAGAGGTGTTATCTGTGCCAACAGCTTCCTTCTGTTGTATCCATTGTTTAGCTAGTGCTGCCCAGTCAACTGAAAAGCATTCCATCACAATTTCAAAATAAAATTTCCAAGTGGATGATACAGATATATCAATATCTTAATTTGTTCACTATTACACATGCACAATGTTCATGATTTCCTTGGTTGAGACTTTGAAAAGAAATTTCATAAAGTATTGGTATTATCTAATTCCATTTAACATTAACACGTTACTCCTAACTAAGTCTCTTTAAATATCCTTAATATCGATATGTATGAAAATGTGCCCTCAAAAGAGAGACATGCTCTGGTACTTTGTCTTACCCTGTTCATGGGGAACCCCTTGGAATACTTGCTGCATCTGAGCAGCTGGCCAAGGATTGGCCCACATCTTTTAAAAGTTGTAGTATACTCTGGATTTGGTGATTTTAACAATAATAAAGCTAGTTTGTTGATCTCCTGACTGTATTGATCGAACACCTGAATAAAACAAGAGATTAAAAATTCATTAATATTTATTATGTGTAAATAATGTTTTGATCAATATTACCTTCTGAACATTTTATTCCATGTTCACATTTTTGGACATTAATTTGGGCACTTCTATTGGCTGTAATAATCATCAGCAGTAAATAGGATGTCCATGATAATCTACATTACATTTAACTGGATGCTGCTTAACTGCAGATGAATCCGGACTTCTTCAGTATTTGTATGCTTACCAAAACTTGGTTCACTAATTAATGGTATTTTCAAATGGAAATTTGAAAACTTTTCTTTCTGTTTGCACCATAATAGTTTGGTACACATATGCATATGGACTTGTCTTCCAAATTCTCCATCACCAATGCTCACAGTAATCATTATAAATACAATGTGACCAACATGATAACACCAGAGACAAAATTGAAGAGTTATGGTGTTTCTGCTACGTATAAGGCGACACATAATTCATGTTCGCCTCGAAATTCTGCTCCTGTGCCTCACGGGTTATAGAGCATTCAGCAAAGCGTGGGACCAATATTAATTAAACAATATTAGATGTTCAACACGACAAGAAACCTTTGGCAGGCGCCATATGTCACAGATCAGATCCACTAATGCAATCAGGCGGACTAAAACCTCTTATGCTAAGCTAGGCCTATCATGCTATGCAAGTCTGAGCCCAAGAACATGGCGTTACGAAAAGTTGAACAGACTTAAAAGTCATAAATCGAATGGTAGTTAGCGACCACATATTTCAATGAGTAACAAAGCATTTCTTTCTTCAAACAATTTCTTTCTTTGACAATCACTGACCCCCTTAATACCTATTCAACATGAACAATTATTTCATACCAAATTTGTACATCGTTACGACGTTCGGCCTACATGGACATTGATTGCAGCACTAAAGACAAACGTTATATTACACGTTTTACGACACTAGCTCGTGTCTCATGAAAACTGAAACAAATATATACCTTCCACTCGCTATCAAAGCATTTTGAATAAATGTGTGGGTGTTATAAGCATTGTTGAAGAGACGAGGACATGTCTCATGAAACCGCCATCTTGTATATAATGCTTGCAGGGCATGCGAAGTTTGACCAATCAAAATTCATTCAGACTGATAAAATTAGAACCATGGTCTGGTGTCCGGAAACTCTAACCTAACGATATAAATCTTACATAATAATTGATATTGTCCTCTATATTTTTTGCAGATGTGTATTTCTTTCTTCTTTCATATTCTTGTTTAAAGATTGGAATTGTAATATTTTTGTTCACCATCTAATAGCCCAGGATCTTTCCCCTTCAAGTTTTGAACACCCAAACATTATACTCACGGACGTACAATGTAGACCTGTTATACTATACTGTAGATTGACGTTCGCATCCATGATATATCGACCACTTCATTGAGTTGGACGCATTTTGTAATCTACCTGTAATGTTCAGGAAATAGCTCCAACTCGATAAACTTACATAAAATTAAAGTAAGACTTGAATATTTTGACCCAGATTATCTGTGTTTGTCACTGTTGATGTTTAATGCGAGTAACTTTACATTGTACATGTATGTAATTTCCGAGGCGTAGCCCCAAAAAGCTCACAAACACGTGAATTTGTATTTCTAAAGAATTTGTCTCGACGGTTACAGAAAAAAGTATATGAAATATCGCTGATATTAAAAGGTACTAATAGGTGGCATTAGCCTGGTGGTTATAAAAAAAATGTTTTGTGAGGACCAGTGGAACAGTTTTGCAGTTGTAGCGTCGAGGGAAAAAACTTTGCAAACGGTAGTTTTGCATTTCTGTTTATTAACAACGGTATCCATGGAGTATCGAGGATGAATGGTAACAGATAAATATCGGTACTGAACTCTCGTCCGACAACAGCAAATTGTACAGGTATCTGTCTGTTGTGTACGTACAGAATGTTGTATTGTGACCTGTTGAATGGTATAGCTGGAAAAACTTATTAACAACCATAGGAAATCAGGTATGTCTGTTTCCATGGTATCATAAAAATATCATAAAGGAAATATCGCTTATTTAATAGAGAAAGGCATCGTTTGATTACCGGCCCACGGCCTGATATTTACACTAAGCTTCGTAGAGATCCAATAAATTTTTTTTATGTTATAGCATGAAGAAGGCTATTGGACGACTGCACGGATCACCGAGATCTATATCTAAGTCCGTGCTCGGACGGACGGACAGAAATAGACGAGAAGGAAAACTATAATCTCGACCGGGTAACCAGCCGCCAAGCATTTGCATTTCCGATCACTCTTAAAACTGAATATAAAATTAACAAAAGCACGAAGAGAAACCAACAAAAGTACATATGAACATGTCTGGCATTTATGTAACCGTTATGTAACCATACATCTTCGATATTTCAGGGGTTAGGACCATTTTCGCTCCCTCCACCCTGGAACATTTCATGGCAAAATCATAGTGGAGGTTCCATGTACAGTTGACGCCTTGTGAATAAGACAAAAAGACTAGTTTGATAATTTGACGAAGAACAAACGAATCTATGTTGTACTGGATTTCACGTTGGGTGTCGCTCCTTTGTAATCTTCAAAGGAGTGTATATCAACCTGTGATTGGTCAGTTTTGATTCCTGTAAACTGTTCTGGACTGGAGGGGACCTATCAAGAGGCTGAAATGCATAACAGTTCAGTGTATTGAGTTTCAATACACTTATCAGTAATTCTGGTAACAATTTCACCGATTTGGTATACAGGATTTTAACATAAACATTTACCCACATTAGACCATAAATGTTTTCATACTGAAAAGGGAAATAATGTCTTGTTTATAGGAGAGTGATCTTCGTCGGAAATCCGACAACGAAGCGATGACATTCTCAGCGTCAAATAATGTAATTTAATGTTGGTTACGTAGCACAGTTTCATGTTGAACCATAGCTTTATGATTAATAATTGGTAAATGATTATTCATGTAATACCAGAAATCAATGGTGAAGACACTACATATTTGAATTTCCGTTGTAATACCCCTACGTTGAAAAGCATTTTCGTTGTATAATTAAGATGCAAACGGGCCGCTTATTAATGTATCACGTTGTTAATGAACGGTTTTCAGAGTAAAGTTGTTCACATTGGAACAGTAGAAAAATGAAAAACTTTGCATTTTACTAGAATTTTTTTCTTTTTTACAATCTTACACACTTTAAATTCTCAGTCACGATCGACAACTGCTTCGGATCTATATTACATATATTTGAAACATGTTAATAAATCATGCTCTCATGTGAACAATATTTTTCCACAATAAGGTAAAAAATGTGATATCCAATTTTGGTTTTATATATTATCTTTTCTAAACGAACATTTTTTATTCTGAAATACAAGAACATTTCGACCGCTTTTGTATTTTCATAATCGCCTTCGTCATTCGATAATCTCGGGACTCTACATGGACGCAGGTGTAAAGGTCAGAAAACGATCGTCTGCACAACAAACATGGCGACCAGTGTGAGGGGTTTCAAGCTTTGCAGAGGTTGCTATTCCATTTTTCGCAAACGTCTGACATTGGATTCGTGTCAGAGGTACGAGCACCAATGTTCGCCGATCTACATCGGTTTCTGTTTTAGTTAAATACCGAGACATCACATAAAATAGTGATAATTTTGAAATATTAGGGTCTTTACATAAGGGTGGCATAGAGTGTTACAGATTCTGCTTTGCAAGGACATTTTTGTCTTACAGACATTTATTTACCAGATCTTAATATCTTGATCAGTGTCTTGAGAATGCCACGTATACATTTTAGTGTTAGTCTCGTCAGTCAGTCTTCAAAGGCAGATGTTACCAAGTACAGGGAGGTTGAAGTGTTAACACCAAAGCTGCAGCAGATATGTGTAATGTAACAATATTTAAGATCCACCAGAAGTGGAATGGTATAAGACTGAAAATTATCAGATGCAATGGTAAAACATACTGTTATAGTTTTACTGAATATGAACTGATAAAATGATGATTTGTCAATCTAAATTAACTTGATATTCTATCTGTTCCAGCTATCACTCTGTATCAAAAACAGTTCTTCTACGTTCACGATTACCCACAGTTTCTCTGACAAATATAAGGTGTTGCAACAATGAAGATGTGAAAGAAAAACCTTGGAGACCTGTTGCTCAAACTACTATTGATGAGGAGGAGCGAGAGAAATTCCAGATGCTGTCAAGCCTGTGGTGGAATGAATTAGGTGAATTCCAGGCTCTGCATACAATGAATGAGTTGAGAGTGCCAATGATTAGAGATGCACTTACAGGTGAAACATTTACACCCACAGCCTCACCCCTGAAGGGCATGCAGATATTAGATGTTGGATGTGGCGGGGGCCTGTTAGCAGAGGTATGTCGCTCTTCATATTGTTTAACCTTGGCAAGGTTATTTCTTTTTCCTCATAGTTTAGGAACTAAGCATACTGGGTCATTTATTTACATTTATGACTAATGCCAAATTAAATAAAACCTATGATTAAATTAAAAACATGAAATGCATGCAAGGAGAGTTATAAAAGGTGGTACAATTATTAGAAAGAATTGTTGTTGCAAAGTATAACATCCAATATTGACAATTAAGTAATTGTTATTGCAGTTAGATATCTGATGAGGTATTCTTAACTGCATTTTACATCTGATTGGTGCTGTTACTTTTATTTAACATCTGATTAGGTACTGTTACCCGCATTTCTTATTAGGTACTGTTACCCGCATTTCTGATTAGGTACTGTTACCCGCATTTCTGATTAGGCACTGTTACCCGCATTTCTGATTAGGCACTGTTACCCGCATTTCTGATTAGGCACTGTTACCCGCATTTCTGATTAGGCACTGTTACCCACATTTCTAATTAGGTACTGTTACCCACATTTGACATCTGATAAGACACTATTACTTACATTTGCTTCCTGACTGGATACTGTTACTTGAATGCAATATCTAATTACCGGTAGGTACTATATTCAGAGGGAGACACTTGACTATATAATATTACCTGAGTTAGATGCTTTATTAAGTGTAATTACCCAAGTTATATACTTGACTTTATGCTGATACCTTTTAACTTCTGTTTAACTTGAGTTAGACACCTGATATCTAATGCTACCTGTGTTAGAAATCTGATAACAGTATTTTATGTTACTTGAGTTAGACACCAAATTTTACAGTAAGTACTGTTACCTGAATGAATAGACACCTGGCAATGGTTGTCCAGAGGTTGGTTAGAGATAACAACAATTTGAATTATTTTTCACTAACCACTTATTAAATCTGATCAACCTTTGAGCACCAAGGCCTGACTGAATTGTTATGTAACTGAGCAGATTCTGTAAGATACAAGATAAGGTACTGTTACCTAAGTGTCTGATTTTTTATTTGTTATGAAGCCTCTTGCTAGACTAGGTGCCCAGGTGATAGGAGTGGACATGGTTGAGGACAATATTAAGACTGCACAGTCACATTTGGTAGATGACCCATCAATCAGGGGGCGTGTCAAATATATACAGGCTGCAGTCGAGGATCTTGTTGGGTCAGAGGAACGCAAGTTTGATGCGGTAGTAGCTTCTGAAGTTGTGGAGCATGTTGCAGATCTTGAATCATTTTTGTCTTCATGCTGTTCACTGTTAAAGGTCAGTATCAGGGAATATGGGGTAGTGTCACTGTCTACGTTTACTTAGAATATTCTGTCCACTGCATGTAGATATATGGAGTGTAATCTTGTAGAGGGTAAAGCTGTTTTATCTTACAGCCTGGTGGATCCCTTTTCATCACCACAATTAACAAGACACAGCTGTCTCGTGGACTGGCTGTGTTTGCAGCAGAAAAGCTGCTACGATTGGTGCCAGATGGAACACATGACTGGGAGAAGTTTGTACCCCCTGATGATCTGCAATACCTACTAGAAACAAGTAAGTACTGTCTAGTCAACTTAATCTGCAGAGATTTAATAAATTGAACACTCTTCATGAAAGTATAATGAAGCAGTTATTGATTACATGATCATATTTAACTGGAGTATTGACATGTCAGTCAGGACTATGTAATATGTTTGATACAAAACCTGGGCCTAACTTGATTGTTAACTCTGAGTCACTAGTAAAGAATTACTGCTTATACACCTTAAATACCAAGTATGTTTGAAGTTTCTATAGACCTTACATGACAACTAAGTCCTGTATTATTAGCATTAGAATTGTGTAAACTTAGTAGTTAATTGTGTGTTCTGCGATGAGAATGGCTCTACTTTGTAATTCTCACCCTTACACCCTCATAGTGATTATTACATTTAAGTTATGTTTGGTTCATTGCATTGAGACCTTTTTTTGTTTAAAGATATAGAATGTCGACATTGACATTAAAGTTATCATAAACTCACATGTTTCCGATTGACCATTCAGGTTCATGATATTGTGACATAGTATTAACCAGTAAAAGTATTTAAACATGACTTCGACTTCAAAACTCATTGACCTTGAACTTTGATAAAGTACTTCTTATTACCAAATATTTACCAGAAAAATATTAAAATATGACCATTTGCCCTTGACCTTTAGTCTAGCAACTTTTCATGTGATTCCAGTCAAGTTTGCTTTATTGCATAACAAAACATTCACTAATAGAATATTTCAAATTTGACTTTAACTTTTCAACTTGTGACCTTGAACTGATCAGTTTTGCTTCATGATGTCATTGCAAAAATACTCAAAATTTGATCACATGACTTTGACTTACAGTCTGGCAACTTCTCATTTGATTTTGGCTAACCTTGCTTCATAATGAATGAAGAAAATATTTGCCAGTAAAATATTTTTGGAAATGACTTGACCATTGACCTGGTCACCTTAATTCATGGTCTATTGAATTCTCATTTTGTTGCAGTTTCTATGCACATTAACATTGACCTTGACCTTTGACCAAAAACCAGAAAATCATTGCATTGCCAGCACTTTCTTTAAAGAAGTATTAAGTTAAGTTTGTGTACAGTGAGCCCAACAGAACTGGAGATAATCTATCATGTGTTCAAACAAAATCACAGATGGACAACTTAGTTACTATATGTCCCCAATTATCTATTACTTCAACTGATTCCTAACATTTGTACATTTGATTTTCTTCAAGAAACATATATGCCTAGCTTTACAGTGTCATTTTTATTTGCTAGATGGCCTGACAACACGACTGGTCCATGGACTCCTGTACAACCCACTTACATGTAGGTGGAGCTGGGTGAAGGACACCAGTATGAACTATGCATTGCATGCTGTAAAGGGAGATAACTCATTCGATTCCTCCAGTCAAATTGATGAGGATGATATACAGGAGGGATCAAAAGACGATAAGAGCTCATCTTCCTAAAAATAACTTGATTTTGAGCTAATATGAATTTGGATTTTCAACAATATCATGATAACTTCAACTGGGATGTTTAGTTCTGTGTTTTGAGCAAAAGACATCTTGTAGTTCTCAAATGTAGAATGGTCCTATATTATCAGCTCTCTAAACCTGGTTGACAACGGATGGTATTTACAATAGTAGACCAGAAAGTGATAAAGGACTTATAAGTATTTGTTGAGATACGGTACACATTGATTTTGAACTCCAATTGAACAGTGAACTGTGCTTTTGCTTGAATGCACAAACCTATTTGAATACACATAAATTCCCAATGTTTTTGCTTGGATACATACATGATTGTTAAATCATGATTTCCTCTGAAAGATACATATTCTTTTAAATACTGTAATAGTTTTACATTTTGTTGATAGAAATGCTGTATAATTCCAAGTAAAGTTCTAAAGATATCTAATTGAAGATTCCTTCTCATTTCTCTCTGCTTCAACAACATCCTTGAAATTCAAGGGTTTTGCTCTAGATACTGTTAACAATAATCATTCTGCACAACAACAAGTGAAAATGATCAATATGGGTTTGATTGTTACATGTTTTTTTTATCTAAATTGGCCTCCTCTTCATGTCTGGAAGCTATCAAATGTTTAACTGTAAGCCTTCAGTTTGTTCATAGCATGTTTGAATTTTTAATTGTCAGGTAGAACCCTTGAGACCACTTTAAATTCTAAAATATTAATACCATCACCTCATAAATGCTGTGTTGTTGTGAATGTTTCTAATACAATTTTTTATGTTAAAAAACACTGAAATACTGAGGATTTTATTGAAAATCGGACTAGGTATCCAATTGCTAACTTTATCCTTAACTACCTGGGGATTTCATTTCTGTTATGTTTCCATTGAAAATATAAAATAAATCAAAACTGGGGCTGTAACAGCTTTTTTGTCTCAGCTGATGATATTTTGCTGGTATACTACCAAGATATATCATCTACAAATTTCCCATTTGTATATGTAACCTTGATGGTGATTGTCAATGACCTCTTAATGAATAACAACACATAATGAAGTAAGGAAAGCCAGTGTTTGACATTAACAAGAAACAACATAGTCAGATATCATGGTTAAAAGGAACATTTAATATCTTGATTTATAATTAACAATATGAACATATGCATATGTAAAGTAATGACTACAAAAATTCTATTAATTTCAATGTAATTCTTTGGACTGTTTTCTATTCATCACACAAGATGATTGTGAAACATCATCAATTTATATGTACCAATGATTCAAAAATTCACCAGTGACATAATGTAATGTCAAAATTTTAAACATATAAATATTGCATGAAACTCTATCTGATCAAATATTGAAATTTCATTTCTTCTCTCATTTTTTTTCATAAAACCATATATGGTTAAGTGATTACGATGCATACATGGATGTTTGTGTTTATAAACCTTTTCAATGGAACATTCTGACTTCATTAGAAGCTTTAGCTTGTAATAATTACTAGTCCCTGTAATCTGAAATAATTACTAGTCCCCAGGACCAGAAATAAATACTAGGTGCCAGAACCTGAAATAATTACTAGTCCCCAGGACCAGAAATAAATACTAGGTGCCAGAACCTGAAATAATTACTAGTCCCCAGGACCAGAAATAAATACTAGGTGCCAGAACCTGAAATAATTACTAGTCCCCAGGACCTGAAACAATTCCTACTCTTCAGGACCTGAACATTCCCTAGTCCTCAGGACAAGGAAATAATTACTTGTCCCCAGAACAATGAAATAATTACTAGTCCCCAAGACCTGAAATAATTATTAGTCCCCAGGACCATGAAATAATTACTAGTCACCAAGACCTGAAATAATTACTAGTCTCCAGGACCATGAAATAATAACTAGTCATCAGGACAGATAAACAGAATCATTTCCTTGGGTTAGATATAAATAAGGGGATTTGGAGTGAGGAAATTGAGAAACCCAGAGATGTTCAAGCAAAAACATATTCCTTATAGTGTTACAAAATTTTATCCAGTTGGAGGGACTATTTTCTTTTTAGAACTTGTTTAATGACATCATAATACTTGTATTGAGCTAGACCCAGATGTCAGATCCAATTTTGCAGCATTAATGGATATAAATATAGAGATTCTGTTCCGGTGGGCAAGAAAATTAAGAAAATTATAAATCTCATAATATCTGGCATATTGACTATCACATGAAAAATTAAGAGGTAAGCCATTTTAAAAAAATGATACAAGAGTGAAACCATGAAACAGAGAAATACATCTCTGCATGAAAAAAAAAATATTAAAAAAAAAGAAAACATTAGCAGATAACATTTAATACAAATGAGAATCCTTGAAATTTGCTGTCAACAAATAACGAATTAGATTGGCTACACTGATTTACAGATATATATATATGACATATAATCTGATTCAGTTGGATTACTTCTTCAAATATATCAGTTATATTCATAAATGGAGAAATGCATAGCAAGGACATTTGGGTTGATAGAATTTTATTTCATTTTTATTTTCAAAAAATCTTTTGTTTTGGTGATAAAATTTTATTTCATTTTTATTTTCAAAAAATCAGTTATATATATATTGTTTTGGTGATAAATTTGTCTAAAAATTGCAAAATTTGACTTGAAAATGTAATGTGTATGTAACAATGTGGTTAATATTTCTCTATACCACTACTCTATCAAAATCAACCAACCAACTTCTAGATATTACATATCAAAATGTTTATAAACACTCACTTTCATAGCTTTGATATTTTTTTCAAAAATTATCAGTGAAAATGAAAATGAAACACAGAAAATCTTTTTTAATAAAGATATCAGAGTACTGGGTAAAAAGATTATGAAAGAAAACTGATTCATTACAATAGTAAAAGAAAGATTAAACTGTCTACAGTGTTTATAAAAAAATCATATTCATACAGGAAGATATTTTTATGCACTTTTTTCTCCTTTCCTTCTATGGTAGATATCGGTTAAAAAAAATTTGTGTCACATCAATAACAAAACAAGCAACAAACAGCCAACATAATGAGACATGTATTAAAAAACATTTTTTGTGGTCTAACCATCTGACAGACATTTCATAAAAATGGTCACATACTAAATAAAACAGTATCCAGAGGTAGAATGATGAAATCCGTTTATAGTTCCAAAGCCAAACATAGAAACTTTAAATTCAATATGGAACCTGCATACAAAAAACGATTTTACACTCTATATCACATCAAAGAAAAGAAACTCTAACAAGCCATAACAAATAAACAAAACAAAGTCTCTAGGGCCATCAACATCATCATTACACAAAAATCAGTAATATCCAATACAATATATTTGTAAAACCTTTATATCAATGATACCACATAGTGAAAGATACAACAATATTCATTAACAAAGTGATCTAAAAATAACATGTAAAATTATTTTCAAAATATAGACAATTAATATAAAGTAAAAAAAAAAATGTTCAGTCCATAAAATTAGTTTATTATAACTAGTACTAAGATAGGCAATAACTCAAAGTTTAATTTTATTAATTGGATATTGCTGGCAGAAATATTACCCAATCGTAGCACTGATTTCTCCAGAGAGAGGGAGAAAAAAATGAAACTTTCCTAAAATTTGATTTTGGCATTTTTTAGATTCTTTATACCAAAAAAAAAAAGGAGAAAACAAAAAAAAAGACAATTAATAAAAGAATGTGTTAGATAATGAATAGATGATATAATTTCTTTAGTATGAAACATCTGACAGTTAACCCAGCACTTATATAATGTACATGAATATGTTATAACATAATTTACAAATTTAGACATGTGTTCGTTTTACTTCAATATAACTAATTAAGTAAGTAATCAATAAATCATATATTAAACCAAATTTCTATTGAAAAACCTTGACCTGATCTTAGTTCACCGGAATACCTACATTATTTCTGCAGTACAGTACTCAGTTTGTAGTGTCAGAAGGATATTACTGACAAAAAGTCAAGTTCACTTATATAAGTGTTGATCAATATCCTTTTAACAAGGTATACAGATATGTTGTGATTCAGTTTTGAACTGGTCATAAAAAAGATCACTAAAAAAATTATTTTAACTGAAAACAAGTTGTGAAATCCTCATGTTGAGAAACACAAATATTTCTTTTCATTTGCATAAAAGATAAAAAAAATTTTAAAAAATACTTTTGAGCTTTTGGAAAGTAAGATTTCCAAGTCTGAAAAGAAATTCAATTCTGCTGCATGTACATATGTACTTCATGTATAAAAATGTACTAATCATATAAAAAGACTGTTGGTAATTGTGCAAGTTTCTCTGAACACTATGGTAAAAGTTCCAGCAGTGATCATATTTCAGATTGTGAAACACTCATAGGTTTACAATTTACAGGTGAGAAATCATTCATACACAAAAATAGAGGAGAGATTGACAGGTCTCCAGTATACAGATGAGAAATCATACATACACAAAACAGAGGAGAGGTCAACAGGTCTGCAGTATACAGATGAGAAATCATACATAAACAAAACAGAGGAGAGGTCAACAGGTCTGCAGTATACAGATGAGAAATCATACATACACAAAACAGAGGAGAGGTCGACAGGTCTCCAGTATACAGATGAGAAATCATACATACACAAAACAGAGTAGAGATTGACAGGTCTGCAGTACGCAGGTGAGAAATCATTCATAGACAACTCAGAAAAGAGTGGCATGTCTCCAGTACACAGATAAAGAGAAATTGGGTCAGACCTCCAAGTGAGAATTAACACAGAAATAGTGTTAGTAATCTTGCATGCAACATACAGATAGAACAACTACATTGATTATACTTATATGCCAGCTATGTTTAAGTTTTAATATATATATATACAGGTATATTATATTGTACACATATAGAATAAATATACACTTACTGTATTTACACTTCCTCAGATTTCTGTAGGTTTCATTTTTTATGATAAATGAAGTTACCAACCTGCCTCTGTTAGAAAACGTTTTTTATGGTTTAGCATGAGAATCAATACTCAAGATCCAAATTCAAACATAATTTCAGTAATAATTTTTGTTAATTCTTAAGTTAATAAATCAATAACAATTTATTAAATATTTTAGTGTTAACATATCTTAGGTGGTAGACATGTAATCTTATATAAGGATTAAAAAAAACAAAGACTTATACTGCTTGACAACAAGAATATTGTCATAAAAAGTCCACTTAAAACATGCCTGAATTTTAGAAAGGATTTTTTTTCTTCTCAAAATTAAAAAAAGAAATTACATTATTTAGAAAAAATTAGAAGGAAGTGAATACAAAAACATACTATCAACACTGTTTTTTCTATAAATTAGTCTCTTTTTTTGTTATAATTGAAATCTTATCGAGATTCTTGATGAGTAAAGGGATACGTGTT